CGGCGCGTGCCTGCAGACCCTCGAGGGCCATAGCAACTGGGTTACGTCAATCGCCTTCTCGCACGACTCGGCCCAGCTGGCGTCGGCGTCACTTGACAAGACCGTCAAGATCTGGGATGCGAGCAGCGGCGCGTGCCTGCAGACCCTCGAGGGCCATAGCAGTACTGTCACGTCAGTCGCCTTCTCGCACGACTCGGCCCAGCTGGCGTCGGCGTCGTATGACAAGACCGTCAAGATCTGGGATGCGAGCAGCGGCGCGTGCCTGCAGACCCTCGAGGGCCATAGCAGTACTGTCACGTCAGTCGCCTTCTCGCACGACTCGGCCCAGCTGGCGTCGGCGTCGTATGACAAGACCGTCAAGATCTGGGATGCGAGCAGCGGCGCGTGCCTGCAAACCCTGTATATCGGCAGAGCTCTTGATGACTTATCTTTTGATCCCACTGGCTCTCGTCTCTATACTGACATAGGTACTATCGTCATTCATAGTTCAGAAGTTTCTGGCACAATTGATACAGAGGAACTTGGGCGACCCCTGTATCAAGGTACAAGCCTTAGTGCAGACGACATATGGATCAAGCATGCTGATAACAACATGCTGTGGGTTCCATCAGAGTATCGGCCATCATGCTCGTCTGTAAGCGGGCTCACAGTTGCCATGGGTGTTGGGTCTGGGAGAGTATGGAGTTGCAGGATCGATCCTTAACACCTGCCCAGCATACATGTTTGTAGCAACCATGAGCGAGGAATGAGTCTCTTCTTTATACTATATTTTCTTATTATCTCTATTTCATAGAGGGGGACGGGGATGCGCAGATTTATATATGCTTTGGGGTTGCCACATCGATACTGCGAGAACCCACAAGAGCACGGGTGTCGCCTTAAGTGGCTCGTGCTACCTGTGGGGTGCGGAGGGGCGTTCCAAAAATAGCTATCACGTGGCATGCCCATCCAAGTTTCTAGAAAAGCGCCACACCGAAGTCTGTTAGGCATAGCGTTGAATAGAATACATTCAGCCTTGCCCTCGTTTTGTATGCTGCGTAATCACACCCGAGTCCGCTGCAAAAACGCATAGCGCCAAGGGCAGGTGTCCCTGACACGGAGATAGCCTCCAAGTACACATTTTCAATGCCTGATTGTCTTTGCAACTTAGGGCAATGTGCGTCTAGGCTAGATCTATCGTTCTAGCATTCCAGACTCGAAAAAGGCGCTGGTGGAAGTGACAGAGCATGGCCAGAAGGCGGAGTGATTTTTGATGCTGTGTGCGACCTGATTCCCCGCATGACCACAACGGTTGTAATTTTCCTGTTGCAACACAAAATGTGAAAGAGAAGTTGCCAAAGGAGAGGATTGCATTAAATACGGATCTATAGATGCGGGTGGGAAAGGTTAAGTCGTCTGGACAGTTAATCCATCTCTTTGAGGGGCATTTCTCGCTTACGGGCGGCAGACGTTAGTCAAGATGCTGCTCGACGACAAGGCCGACGTCAACGCGCAAGGTGCAGACTACGGCAACGCACTGCAGGCAGGTTCATGGTGAGGCCACAAGCAGATAGTCAAGATGCTGCTCGACAAAGGCGCTGACGTGTAACTGCGTGAGCAGCGTCGATTGGAGGCTATGGTCAAGGGTTGTACTGCTAACTATGTTGTTGTTTTTCTCTCTGTGATTGTGTAATTACGGGAGCTCTTTGCATGTTTTGTAGGTAGCGAGCTAGCGAGCATCTATATACATAAAAGCCGTGTTCACAGGTGTGTTCATCATTCATCTACACAATAAGATACTGGTCCCTCGCTCTGAGCATCTCCGTACAATCGAACAAGCGTTGCTGCTGAAAGAGGTACGTGCCGGTGAACGAGTTTCTGCTCACAACCTTTGTGATACACCAGAACTTTGGCAAGCTGATGTTCATCGGCATGTTCATGCCTGAGGCGTTGTCCATCTTCAACACCACACCTGTGTCTATATCTGAGCTTCCTGGCCTGCGGGAAAAGCGCCATTTCTGCATACTCTTCTCTCCGTACCACAATCCAACTGACATACAAGAATCAATATTTGTCCACTCGTAGTATGACTCCTCGTTAAATTCTTCGTGCTTGATTGTGCTGATGACCGTGAGGTCGAGCCAGGCGAAGGGCATAGTACGGTCTTCGGAGAGGTCCTTCCCCATAACGAGCTCGGAGTACCTGGCGTCGATCCCTGACTGCAATGCCTGATTGAAGTTGTCGTTCCTCGCAAATTCATTAAAGTGCTTGTTCTTCTCCTTGACAACGTACTCGAAGTTCTCATCAGACAGGAGCGCGTACTTCCATGAAGCAACGCAGCTGACCAAGTTCAGGTCCAAGTACAGCTTTCTCCTCCCAGGGTTCATCAGTCCTGGGTTTTTGACCCAATTCATCATCGTTATTAGGTCATTGCCCACAAAGGATACCTTGAACCCGTGCGAGAGTATCCATAGCATCCAGCCTTTGTCTGTAAATATTTGCCTCCAGAATTGCATATATCTCCGGGACTGCATCTTGGTGATAGAAATATTGAACGCATATAGCAAGGCGCTTAGGTCCAAAGGAGTGAGGAGTTCGAACAGCTGGGCCCCAAAGTCCGGAGTAGCGCACAACATACGCATAGACTGGTACACAAAGGTGCTCCTGTTCATGTTGGGAATGGAAGTTCGGTAAGTTCTTTGCCAAGTCTGGCTGTTGGAACGGAAACCATTGTCTGTATCCACGCTTTAAAAGGCAAAGTCCTATGCTCATTGTATCGCAGGATTTCCGACAAGATGTGATATGATAGGGTACGCTTGGGTGAGCTTGGCGCAGTCGGAAGGACTATCGATACCGGTAGTGCGCCGATTGCCGCCCATGTTGAATACCGTAAACGTAGAACAAACACCTGCTCAAGAAACTTTTACTAGAACCAGGTTCGTGTTAGATTGAACACTGAAGACGGTTCACAGCATGGTTCGAAGCTGCGCATAACATTGCAACGCCTGTGGGTCACTAAAGGTCGCACAGCCTGCATCATTCCTATTAATAGCTTTCATCATACCTTTGTTAACTGCCGCAATGTGTTGTATCATTTTAAGCTGTTTCTTTATCAGACATCCAGCGAAATCCAAGAAGCGGCCGTTGTCTGCAGGGGACCCACCTCCTTACGAGTCAGTCTGCACAATTCTACCCCACCTTACGAGACCTAATGTCTACACAGAATCAAACCTCGCATAACTGAGTTGAGCAATCAAAAAACAACTGTATGAAGTCCTTGTCTCTTTGGGTTACAATGTACAAACTCACAGCCGATGTGATCCTGATAGAGCCAATGTCCCCCCTGGTACTTTCTAACTGTCTCACGAGACTCGTGTCCATGTAATCGAGGAGGGAGCGTTCCAGAATTCTCTCCAGGGCGTCCATGCGGGCTACCTCTGCCTTTCCTTGGTACACAGGTTCCAATGGTGGCCGAGTAACAGGTGAACCGGTATACCTATTTGGACCCCCACTCGAACTTGAATTGGTCTTCTGCATGATGGTTGGTCGTATAGTCCCTTCTCCATGATTTACTTCGCCAATACGCCTGAATGCGTGATTGTCGTCCTCGATGTTTCCTACACCTCGTTCTGGATCCTTACTTTGATGGACTGCTGTTTGGATGAACTGTTGAAAACCAGGATTTGTCGAATTTGTCAATGGTGTTGCTTGTGAAACATTTATCCTGTCAAGCCGCCCTTCCTTCGATAGCGCTTCGTCTCCTAGCTCTTCCACTGCTGACAGTCTCGGCATCTTTGATTGCCCATTTTCATATGTATCTATCGCGTGTCTCTTCCTGGTCTCATTTGGTCTTAGAAGATCGATGGCGAGCTGGTGAAATGGCTGGGATATTTCAGGAATTCCGGCTTTTGTCAAGTCTTGAATGACCTTGTCATGCAAATAACCACTCTTGGGCGTCTTTTGTGCCCAGCTGAAGGACTGTCAATTTTCTCCAACAAGAAGCCTCTCTGAAACGTACATTGAATTCCCAACACCATGCGGTAGGAAAAAGAGACTAGCCAAGCCTCCGAGTTTATGCGCTAGGTGTACATACCTATTTCCAGCACTAATGTAGCCGTCAATCTGCTTTTCAAGGCTATGTTTAGTCTTAAACAGGGTAACTTCTTGCAAAGCCTGCGCCAATAATTCAGCTGTATAGCCTTGGCAACTCAACTCATACACAATCACACAAGCGAATCTCTGAAGTATCTTGTGATGTATCCCAGTGTCTTCTAGAACAAGACAAAGATACACACCATAATTCACGGGAGAATCTAGTAATCGCGCATCCTCTCTTGTAACCTTTTGCTGTATGTTTGGGTTCCAGAAATTCACTTCTTGGTCTTTGACCTTTCTCAAAAAGCTCCGGATCTTTTCATGCTCTTGCAACTCGGGCTGTTGGAGTTTTGAGAACGTTGCTTTCGAGATCCGAGGAACTGGCTTGACGGCCCTGGTTGACTGAGAGTAATTCGTTGATGGAAGGACGGCGTTGGCCGGCAGGTTCGCAGCGGTAGCCGGAGAGAAGTTGGTGAGTGGAGATGTGGCGGGGGCCGAAGAGACGTTGGCCGACGGAATGACGGCGGAGGAAGAAGGAACATTAATGGGTACAGAGATGAATTTTTTCGAAACGGTGTAGGGTATCGCTATGGAAAAGGCTTCTGACAGAACCGCTCTTTTGTGAATAGAGTCTAAGACGCTGGTTATCTCTTTGAGTAACTGTGAAAGATGTGAGCGAGAGGGTTATTGTGAGAAGTTAAACTCACACTTTCGTTCAACTCCTCATTCTCGATCCTTGCAGAGAGACACATCGTGCTGTGGAGTTCATCGTGAAACCCAGGCTGTGAATTGCTCATGAATCCGATGGCGGGCGCTAAAATAGTCGTGTACATTTTAGCGTCGATTCCAACACGCGCGACCGCTGCTGCATGCTGCATAACGTCACATGCACTGCACAGCCGAACACCGCACTGACTGCAAAAGCTTAGTGGAGTTCTCAATGGTGGCTTGCAGTGCCTTGTCGCACGGATGTAGTGTGGCGTTATACAAGTGATGCCCGTGTCCATGGTCGACCTGGTTTGCCCGTCTTGTAGAAGTAGCATAGCTTGGCTGGGCGTGCCTTCGCTTTTGCTGTTGACCCAGAGTAGCCACTACAGGCACTGCTGCAGCTGGTCGTCTGTCACCACGAACATGGGCGTCACGTCGACCATCAGCCCGCCAAGCGCGGCGCGGCTGTAACCTTGATCGAGCGGTGCTGTTCGCATGCATCCCGTCCGGTGGCGACGAAATTGGATACGTGCCTGGGTCTGTCAATCCAATGAGTGACAGCAGCAGCTGGCAGCTCACACGCGCCCCGCTGTGCGTGGGCGTATCGCAGCCTCAACGAAGTGTCAGCGGCTGAGAGAACGTAATGGCGGAACAGCGTACTCAACAACTGGATCGGTGCCCTCACATCACTTGCAATCCTTGCTAAACCAGCTGCTTGTGCTGGCGGTGAAGGCGCTGGCGCTTCTGCTGGTGTTGAAGATGTAGAGGCACACATCCAATCCCAGTCTATACAGTAGGCGCCACCGCGTTACTTCCTCACCAATCCCCCCAATTTCTCCCAATTTCCCCAATCTTCCCCGCAGACTCTTTCTAACTGAGACCCGATTGATACTCAACATTTCCTACGAAGTGTCTCCACCCTAGCTATCCGTGGGGCTTGCATCCCGTCACAGATCGGGATGTGAATCTGTGGGGGCGTAGATTGTGATCAGTACGCAACGTGCGGAAATATTGAGGGATTGAACTGAGGTTGTATTGGGTGAAGCTACGAACAGTATGTATAGGTGGGTAGCTGTAAAAGCCGAGCTAAATACGATAGGTGCAAAGGGTGTGGCGTGAAGGCGGCCTCCCAGCGCCTGTTTTAGAGCATTACATAGCCAACTCCGTGGCTCCTTGGTGGAAATAGCCAATTTCGTGGCTCCTGGGATCTGAGGTGAGCGTGGTAAGCCCTCACTTGAAGTTATTACGCCACACACCAGTGCACTGATGCACGCAGCTCGAGAGAGGATCAAAGATGGTTCTTAACTGCGCGCCAGTGACTTCTCTGGGGAAGCGTCTTGCTCGGAATGATACATACAGTATTTTTCGCCTGACTAGCAAACGCCGAATCGACATATTATTAGCGTAAAGTGAACTGATCGGTGATCCATCCTTTCGCTCTTGTACGTTATTTTATCTGAGCCTGCATCTACGTCACAGGAGCGTGAATGAGTGTTTATCAAAGCGATACGTCAGATACTGAAGAAAAAAGACTGCGCGCTGTGCACGAACCATCTGCCTTTTTGTCCTGATGGTCCTTCAGCTTGGCAGGCTTTTCAGGTACAAGAAGCACGCCCACATCTGTAGCTCGGTTTACTTGTAAACACCAGAGACATCATAAGTCTGCGAAAATGGTTAATCAATCTCAACTCGTTCGAGCACTGGAATCGCAACCAAACCATGAAGCTGATCAGGTTCGGCGGAAACAAGAAATCTCTTTGCACCAACCGCCACCCGCTCAACCACCTATACTTGGAGGCCACGAGCGGATAGTTAAGAGGCTGCTCGACATGCATGGTGGAGACTACGGCAGAGCACTGCACGTAGCTTCAGCTAAAGGCCTCGATCAGGTAGTCAAGATACTGCTCGACCGCAAGGCCGATGTCAACGCGCAATGTGGATACTACGGCAACGCACTGCAAGTAGCTTCATTTGGAGGCCATGAGCAGGTAGTCAAGATGCTGCTCGACAAGGGCGCCAACGTCAACGCGCAGGGTGGATACTACGGCAACGCATTGCAGGCAGCTTCATACGGAGGCCACGAGCAGATAGTCAAGTTGCTGCTCGACGGCAAGGCCGACGTCAACGCACAAGGTGGAGACTACGCCAACGCACTGCAGGCAGCTTCAGCTGGAGGCCACGAGCAGATAGTCAAGTTGCTGCTCGACAGAGGCGCTGACGTCAATGCGCAAGGTGGAGAGGACGGCAACGCACTGCAGGCAGCCTCAGCTGACGGCTACGAGCAGATAGTCAAGTTGCTGCTCGACGGCAAGGCCGACGTCAACGCGCAAGGTGGAGACTACGGCAACGCACTGCAAGCAGCTTCATACGGATGCCACGAGCAGATAGTCAAGATGCTGCTCAACAGCAAGGCCGACGTCAACGCGCAGGGTGGATACTACGGCAACGCACTGCAGGCAGCTTCAGCTGGAGGCCACGAGCAGATAGTCAAGTTGCTGCTCGACAGAGGTGCTGACGTCAAAGCGAAGGGTGGAGACTACGCCAACGCACTGCAGGCAGCTTCATTTGGAGGCCACGAGAAGGTAGTCAAGGTGCTACTCGACAACAACGCCGACGTCAACGCACAAGGTGGAGACTACGCCAACGCCCTGCAGGCAGCTTCACTTCAAGGCCACGAGCAGGTAGTCAAGATGCTGCTCGATAGCAACGCCGACGTCGACGCGCAGGGAGGAGACTACGGCAACGCACTGCACGCAGCTTCACTTCAAGGCCACGAGCAGGTAGTCAAGATATTGCTCAAGAGCAACGCCGACGTCGACGCGCAGTTTGGAGACTACGGCAACGCACTGGACGCAGCTTCATACGGAGGCCACGAGCAGATTGTCAAGTTGCTGCTCGACAGCAAGTCAAATCATGGTCATGGGCAGAAGAGAAGTGCGAGCAACGCTTGTGAAACGGAAACTAGACTCAAGAAGTAAGATCACAGGACAGCCTGCTTGATCGAACATCTCGCTCATAGAACCAATAGATTCCGAGCCTGCGTTTTGCAGGCGCCAAAGGATACCTACGAAACCCGTGAGCATATTCCTCAGCAGGCAGCTCCAACTACCATACACAGCGCAGAACCCTGGGAAGCTGAGCAGACATTTGACTCAGCTGCCTTGATCGAATCCCACGAGAAGCTTATCGCAGATCTGGAGCTGAAGGTAGAGCAACAACTGGTCGTACTCAACCATATAATGATGTCAACAAGTAAAGAGGAAGTCAAGGCCGTCTTCGCTCTTCGATTCTGCCAGACTCATTGTGAAGACGCAGAACACTGGTCACAACAGTTCAACGTGTGCCACGGTACTAAATTCGACAGGCTGTGGAAGCAATTTGCACTTGAGGAGGCTCCAGAGACTTTCTCCTGGTCGTCATGGGGTGAGCGCATGGTGAAGATATGCCAGATCTGGCATTTCCTCAGTTTTCCATATTACAATCACAAGCATGACCAATCACACTGTAAAGAATGCTCTTCGCCTGATTGTAAACCAATTTGTTCAAAAGCGCCGTTCCATGTCTTCATGGGAATGCTGAAGGTAACTGTCCGCCAGCAGAGGTCGAATTGACACTGACCTTTGTACAGGATCATTGCGATATATGCCACAAGGATTTCGTTGGCCCCCAAGCGCAAGAGAACAGGCAAGACTGCAAGAACAGTCACTACGGCACACAGAGGGAGATTCAGTACCCAAACAACAACTTCCAGCCTTGCAAGACTTGCGACAAACTGGAGTGACAGAATCGACAGCGAGCACTGCCTGTATAGTCTGTTCATCCAATAACTACGCATTGCTCCTGCTCAAATAACAGAGTTGCTTCCTGGAGTTGAAGATATGACACAATCAATTAATTGAGAACTCGTGATTCACGATCATGCCCATACGCCCAATTGTTGGCATTGCTGCTTTGAAAAGTTTGGTGACACTCTTGCTTTGTTGTACATAGATGGCACGTCATATTGCTCTGGGCAGCAATACTCACTACAGTCCTTTGTTGCATTACCACAGTACACCTGTTCTTACAATGTGTCCAGGGTTGATGGCCCTGAGCAAAAAAATTCTGATTGACAGAGAACAATCGACAATGTCTGACGGACGACCTCTACACAGTTTCAATTACAGAACAGTCCTGTCCAGACTCAACTTTTGCAACACTAGTCCAGTCGGTATCTTGACGGTGGCATTGCCTATACTTTTTGTCCTTGAAAGTGAAGCCTTCAAACGTATACTCGCACTGGCTTTTCTTCCATCCTTCGCTCAGCACAACATCAACAAGCGGCGGGCGACCAGTCCAGAAGCTTGGTCCTCCGAAACATCTGAATATAAACTGCACAGGGTCGCTGCTAGGAGATTCAGAGCTATCTGGCAGGGTTTGTGTGGGAGGGTTCAGGTTCAGAAGGAATATAGGCCGAAGATTTTGAATCTGCGTAATTGGACCATTAACCCCTCAGATGTCCTGCGAGCATAAAGTTCGAATCTTTTTCTCTGGATCTCTCCAGTAACAATACTTTGTTTGTATCCCTTGCTCCCTAGAGAACAAGTAACAAAAGTCCTGTCCCAGAATCTCAGGCACATCTAGCCTGCTTACAGCAAGCGTGAGCTGTTCAAGCTGATGTTCTTTCAAGCCGGAGGTGCCTCCACGTAGACTCAGGTGAAGGAGATCATTCTTGTACTGGAGCTCGCCGCAGCGGTCAAAAGCGGCGAGTACAAGACAAGGCTGTGCTTTATTCACAGTAAGCCCGCTCAGTATGTCAAGATCAGCGCCGATCAACACGATGTTCACGTCTTTCGCACTGCAGCTCTCTAACCAGTCCTCGTTTCTGAAGACAGCAGTCCACACCCGGTCGTAAGCATTGGACTTGAAGTCGAAAACATCAGTTGCATTTAAGGCTGATGAGGGAAGAAGGTATGCGGTGATTTCATCCCACACCTCTTGAGAAAAATTGGGATATGAGGATGGTCTACCTCTGTGGGTCTGGTTCGCAGAATCACTAGTTGTGACGAGTTAGAGACGACGAACGAGCCATGCTGGGAAGAACAGCGCACATTGTATTAGAGGCCATAGGTACAGTCAGGTGTTGTGACAAAACACGCTATGGGTTCTCTTAAACGGTCAGTACGACAAATCGGTGTGACTGATGGGGTTGCAGAGGGCAGTACTCCGGATATAAGGTATTGCTTGGTCCTTCATTTTTCCTCTCGCTACGTACGATGCAGGAGGATCTGACAGCATGTGATGGTTGGATACGGTTAACGGTTAACGGTTGTAGGGATAAAACTAATTTCGGTTTTTTGTATCTACAAATCATGCAACGCAAGGAAGAGAACCGCAGGTAGGTGTCCCTGACACGGAGATAGCCTCGGAGTACACATTCTCAACCCCTGATCGTCTTTGCAACCTAGCACAATGTGCATTTAGGCCAGACCTATCTTTCTAGCATTTCAGAATTGAAAAAAGAGCTGGAGGCGACAGAGAATAGCTAGAAGGCGAAGTGATTCTTGATGCTGCGTGCGACGTGATCGCTGGCATGACCACAACTGTTGTAATTTTACTGCTGCAATACCAAACGTGAAAGAGAAGTGGCAAAAGGAGAGGACAGCATTATATGCGGATCTATAGATGCGGGTGGGAAAGGTTAAGTCGTCTTGACAGTCAACCCATCTCGCTGAGGGGCATTTCTCGCTTACGGGCAGGGGACGTTAGTACTTACGTTAGGCTTTAATTCTGTCTCAGGGGTACACAATCGATCAAGGCCGCTGTCAGGATGTGTGTTTGTTGGGCCCCCTGCATATGTGTGGCTTTATTGCGGGCGGTTAATGCAGCTTCCAGATTCGTCTGTGCCTCAATCGAGCGTCCAAAGCATAATTAGTATGACGCACCTTGTCGCCATCAAATACCTGTTTACGGAAATCTATGGGTTGAGCAGATTCCCGCTTTCAGTAGTTTAGTTTTTTGCTTGCCGTTTACACGAAATTTAGGAAAAATTCTGCCAGTCGCACGGGAGACAGCAAGGCTTCCCGTTTGCTCAGCCCTATTTAAGCAACGTACCGGCAGATTAGTAGTTAGGTGGGTGACCACTAGCGAATACCTACTGTTGTATGTTATTGCATTTTTGCTTCTGTTAATACTCTTGCGGCATCTTGTCAGTTTGCTCGCATGTATACTATAAAAGTAGACAACTCTTTCACATACGACCATAGGACGTTGAATACAAGGCTTCCCGTTCGCTCAGCCCTATTTAAGCAACGTACCGGCAGATTAGTAGTTAGGTGGGTGACCACTAGCGAATACCTGCTGTTGTATGTTTTTGTCTTTTTGTACCTTGTACCTCTCCACTCCTCTCTTGCGCCAAGTTTTTTTTTGCTAGACCCGGCAATCCATGCCACGCCCAACAACGTTACTTGCCTATTCCTGTCATTGCGGGCACTAGAGGGAAGTGGAGATGGATTGACTTCGTCGAGTCCACTTTCATTCACACACTTTCATTCACACACATTGACCAGATAGCAGATAGCTCCGTAGCGCAGTGTCCTCTATGCCACGACATGCATTGTTTACGCTGGATTAAACAGACCTTCAGGATATCGAAACTCAATGACAAACCATACGGCTCTTCTACCAGCTGGTGCGCACACTGTGCACCACCGGCGATCGATCGGCGAAGCAATGGTCTCCGTCTAGGAAACAACAGCAGCATCGGCCAAGATATGTCTTGGTCAGCGCTCATGCTGAGACAATGCTAAATTTGTATCCGAGATTTCCAATCCTGTGGTCATATCAAAGGTCCACTTGAATCTCATGTATAGCTCTTGCTGTCTTGCAGTCTTGCAGTCACAACTACTACTCGGCCAACAACCTTTTACCCATCGCCAGGCAATTAACACACAAGGAGTTGTACCCGGCTATATATCTTGTCTCCAGACACCATGTCCCACTCCAAACTCTTCGCGCCCCTTGGCGTGGGGACCATGAACCTCCAACACCGCATCGCCATGGCGCCCTTGACCCGGCTCCGCGCAGACGACAATCGCGTCCAAGTACCATTGGCAGTGGAATACTATACTCAGCGCGCCTGCGTCCCAGGTACACTTTTGATCGCAGAAGCAATGCTCATCTCACCCGCTCACGCCGGCATGCCCCGTGGTCCCGGTATCTGGACCTCAGAGCAAATCGCTGGCTGGAAGTCTATCACCGACGCCGTTCACGCGAAAGGGTGTAGTATGGTTTGCCAACTCGTTGCGCCAGGCCGTGCTGCGGATGCTGAGGAGCTCAAGAAAGACGGTTTTGAACTACTCAGCAGCAGTGCTGTACCTATGCCCGAGAGTGGCTTCACTGAGAAGACTGGTCCAATATCCGTCCCGAAGGAAATGACCGACTCCGAAATTCAAGACTGTATCCGCGACTTCGCCCGCGCAGCCCAAAACGCAATGACAGCAGGCTTCGACGGCATCGAAATCCACGGCGCAAATGGATACCTCATCGACCAGTTCCTGCAGGACACATGCAACCACCGCGGCGACTTCTGGGGCGGTTCCATCGCCAATCGCTGCAGATTTGGACTCGAAGTTGCGAAAGCTTGTGCACAAGCCATAGGATCTGAACGCGTGGGCTTTCGTGTTAGCCCTTGGAGTCCATTCCAGGGCATGCGTATGGCGGATCCGGTGTCTACGTTCTCTCACCTGGTCGAAGATTTGAAGGGACTGGAGTTGGGGTATCTGCATATCATTGAAAGCAGGGTGAATAATAACGTCGACTGCGAGGGTATCGAGAGTGTTGACTTCCTGCTGGAGATTTGGGGTAAAGAAAGACCGGTGTTGCTGGCGGGTGGGTATACGTCAGAGAATGTATGGAGTGCGGCGGATGGGAAGTACGGGGATTTCATCGTGGTTTTCGTGTTTGGAAGACATTTCCTGGCGAACCCTGACTTGGTGCATAGGATTAAGCATGGCCTGCTACTGAATAAGTACGATAGGGGTACTTTCTATGTGAAGGGGAGGACGGAGGAGGAGGGATACACGGATTACTCTTTTGCTGAGGGGTTTGGAGAGGCTGTCAGGGTTTAGATCTCCATGTAGTATCACGCTGGAAGCGAGCGGTGGAAATTATCGATTTTCTGAAGTCATACGTACGACTTAGGAATCTAGGAAAGACAAAAATCCCACATTCGAACGCTGGGGTTCCCTCTTGACTATTTGACTCAACTCAGCATTGTCACGGCGAATAAGAGACGTCTGTTAGGCATACTTGATTGTTGCTTGCGATCACCTTATGAAAGACGTTTGAAATGGTGCATGTGCTGTGTGCATGTTTGGATGTCTGTTGCCCCTTCCACACTTTGCAGCCGCACGGATACGTCGCGGCGCGTCACTGCCGGCGATCTTACTCTCAGCACCCTCGCGACAACACCAACATCGACTGCCCCAGACAGTGCGCAATGTCTTCATATTTTCCGAGTGAACGAGTAATGTCTTGAGTCGCGTGCGGTGGTGAGGTCGCAATCGCGGTGCGCGAGCCGTTCGCCCCACAGTTTCCCCGGCACGAACTGTCCCTTTCCACGTAATGTTGGAAAATACGCAGTTGATCAATGAAGAGACCTTTGAGGCAAATACGGCGTCTCACAACATATAAATCCATGGTTTTGACGGCCTTTTAGGTAATCATTTAGACGTTCTGCGGCATATCAGCTGCCTTTCTAGCATCTCGACTTGTCATATGTCTATCCCGAAAGGAAGGACTGAAGAGGAGCGACTACCTCCTGTTGCTAGCCTTGCGTTCGCTATTCGCCGGATCTGCACTCCTTAAGTCCACTTTGGGTGCGCTTTATGACCACGGCGCTGCAAAGTCCTGTGCAGATCGGAATTATGCCCAGCAACATGTGATATCTTTTGGCAACATCTGTCTACCACGAGGTTGACTAGTGCAAGAATGCCGGTACTTTCGAGGACAATCGTCCAATACGCGTGCTTGGGAGATCTTCGTGATCACTATTGATATTGTGACAGATCTGGCAGGTGCACAACACACTGTCCAAAACTCAATCTTGAGGCTAACAATATCTGACAATTATGTCGATACTAGTGTTGCTGATCTGTATGGCGAATTTACGCTGTCACGCGCCGGTTTGTACACTGCTTTCAAAAGTCTCTCGATGTTCGTTATTGCCGTGACCGCGACTCGCTTTGCTTTCCTCTGCGATGCTCGGGCCCAGAATGTGAACTACGCGACAATCATTTTCTGGCTCATGGTGGAAGCTGCTGTCGCCTTAGTTGCAGCATGAGTGTCAGGCTTTCGTGTCATGCTACTCGACGTTCTGTGTAAACGCCAAGTGCAGCGACAGAACGCGGCGCAGAATGGGGATGGGAACTATTGAACTGTTGGAGGAGCTAAAAGCCACGCACGTGGCGAAGATCACGATCCCGGGGCCATGGGTTGGACGTCCCTCGTTCTCCAGCCTATCGAAAGATCGACTCGAACGATTGGGTGCTTTCCCAAGGACCCCATGGCCTCCTAGAGATCCCTGAGTGCCGGCGTTGGAGTCGGCGAGCCTGTGCGAGAGCTGGTCGACAGCGTCATGCTCGCCCTGTACAACTTCAATATTGTGGAAGCAGCGATCATCGAGCTGAGTATGTCTGTGCATCTAGGAAGGATGCAAATCCGTGCAGCAGATCTTGTGCATCGCCAGACTACCATGTGACATGAGCCTGGCAGGATCTCAACAGCTCTAGAGTCGAATTGGTGGCCAGCCTCTTCGGGCTTGCGCGTTCTTCACAACCTCACGGCGAGTTCACGGCCGGCAGTTGCCGTGCCCTTGACTCGCGTTCATCAGATCAGCAGCCCTACATGACCTTCAGGAACAAATCTTCACGAGAACTTCAGCTTTGCCTTGCTCCGTGGAGGAAAACACGTGTACCTTGTTCCTGCAGAATCCTTCCCTCGATCTCACCTCCGCGATGATGGGACAATCCAGGCCGTGATTCATTTTCATGGCTCGTGCGTCAAACCGCTATCAAGAACACGAGGGGCCGGGAAACATCAGGCCCAGAAGTTCGGGGGGTGCCATTGGCGCAAGAATGTACATGAGCGGGAACCAGTCTTTGGGCGTTATGCCTTCAGAATTTTGGGTTTTTGTGGCTGAAGATGCAAAACATGCAACGGGCGAACCAACGTTTGAAAGAGCGATCAGCAACCTCGAAATGGATCAACCACACAAACTTTATCCTCTGGTAGGATGTCACCACAAAGTGGCCAATGGACCAGACTTAGGCACCCCAACAACGGCATAAAAGTCGTTCCACCAACGCTCCGCGCACACGATTACGGAAGCTTGTTGCGAAAGCCAGCACTTTGGCTGGCTGGCGATATGCATACGACGCCGAGATAATGCTGCTTCAACGTCCACGAGATGCGGGCACCACGACCGTCATGCAAAATAACGATCTCTTAGTGCTGCGGTTCTAGGCCCATCCTTCATCTCTCCGTCAGGGCACTGTTGGCTGTGATAGGCGGATCACGATGACGCTAGCCATATTGGCTACCGGACTATCAGTCCGACCCTGTATCCCGTGTTAAGTTTGACCCCACGGCAAGATCGTGGTGGATATAGAGAGCTGGAAATCATGACGATCTTGGTCGTCCCCCAAAACGGGCCGTGATCTACTGCACAACATTCACTCCATCGTTTCGATATTCACTTCGCCGAAGAGCATGCTCCTTTCTTTCCTCTTATTCCAGCACATCCCGCTATAAGGGTTGTCGGGAGCCCAGGCGTTGGGACTCCAGCCTTGCATTCACTACCCATACATATTGTTGTTGTGGCTTGTCGCTCTTTATCATGGCTTTCGAAAAAGCGCAGCTCGGGTCCCTTGGGTGGTTCTACATCGCCTTCGAGATCTGTTGGAATGTCTCGCTCGTTGCTGCGATGGCCTTCCTGTGGAGGTAAGTTCGGTTACTCACTCTGTCGGTCTAAACAAGTACTGATTGTACAATCACTGTAGGCATCGTGAGCTTCCGTCCATACGCATGAGGAGGCTTCCTCTTCTGTTCATAGGAGTAGGCGCACTCCATGTCTATGGAGCCATCAGTATCTTTGCGTATCCGTTTGGCGCATATTTCCCTTGCTCCGTGATCTTCTGGATGATGAGCATCCTCGTCCCATTTGGTATGGCGATGTTTCAGGCCGCTAATACCCAGTTCCTACACGTTGCCAGCCGACAGAAGCAGCTTGCACATATGAGCACGTTGAAAGACCAGAAGCCGATCAGTGAGAAGCAGGCCGCGGCTATGGGCAACAATCATTTCTCAAGAATCGTCTCTGGTGTCGAGAGAGCTGATAGAGTCAGTCGCTCTTTGGTCTTCATCGGAGTGGGCATGGTCGTTCAGGTAGGCTTCCTATTCAAGATGCACGAAATGCTGAGCTTACTCTTTCGTGCTAGGTCGCAGCTACATTGCTCGTGTTTCTCGGCTCTGAGAAGTTTCACCCTGGCTTTGGTCTCTGGGATTACACTGTCCAAGGCACCGAGGCAGAGTTGTATCTCAAATGCAACCAAGGTTGGGAATGGTGGGCCTCAATCGTCTGGCAATTTGTCTGGGCTTGGATTTACGCACCTTACATGATCTGGAAGAGCAGAGGAGTCCGCGATGTCCATGGCTGGCGACTCCAAACTATCTGCTGTTGCATTGCTGGGTAAGTCGTTCTTGTTTTATGCAGTACCAGTGCTAACTTCCCAAGACTCCCAGCGTCCCCTCTTTGGCTTGCAGGCCTTTACTCTCCTTCGATGGCGGCAGTTGGTGCCTACATTCCTCCACCGATCTGGTTCGGTATTTTCATTTTCCTTATGGAGATCATCACCCTCGGCTTCCCTATCGTGGGCGTCTTCAAAGCCCAGAGCCTTCGACAAGAGACTTTAGAAGCCATTGCTGAATGGGAGAAGCGTCAGGCCCAGAACGATCTCGATGGCACTGTCGCTGCTGAAGGGTCATTGAAGAGTCACAGTGTTTACTCCGACACCTACTCGAAGACAACGACCCTCAAGTCTGGTGGTGACATTACCATCAACACCTTAGAATCCACCAAATCCGGCATGCTCACTATGACAGCGTTGGAGAATGCGCTCAGAACGAATGCAGCTCCTCTTCTCGAATTTGCAGCGCTCAAGGATTTCTCAGGCGAGAACGTCAGCTTCCTTACTCACGTCGCCGATTGGCGAAGATACTGGTTCACACCCAAGGCTTCCACTGCGGACCACCGACGTCAGCAATTCATTGCCGCTACCCACATTTACGCTCGCTTCATTTCCCTCGAATTCTCTGAGTTTCCGATTAACATCTCGTCCAGAGAGATGAAACGCCTGTACAACGTCTTCAACAGCGCAGCTGTTGCTCTTTACCGTAACAAGCGCGGTTCGCTTTCCTCTGAAACTTCAGACTCGGCTACACCTTTCGACAACGTTCAGCCGGACGATGCATCCGCCGCCCATTCGCACAATATGCCACCAAGCCCTACTGGATCGACATTCGGGCTGAAGGACCTGGATGTACTTGGCCGTGCGAACTTACGAGCGGTATCGCGCATGGATGGAATGTACTCGGACGAGAAACTTAGCGACATCGAGATCCCCGACACTTTCGCAGAAGTCATTTTCGACCCAGCTGAGAGCGAGATCAAGTACCTGGTCCTTACCAACACCTGGCCGAAGTTTGTCAATGCTGGGCGTGCTGCAAGCCGGGCCAGCAAAGACGAGGAGACAGGCAATGGCTGGAGGCAGAAGATGCTTTGCGATCGAAACTAGTTCTGTTTTCGCGATTCTGGGATGTTGCATGATGCTTATGCCTCTCACGGGCCGACGTTGATGTGGTTTCTTCGAGTTCGAGGTCGTACCACTTGGAGGCTTCGCGAAACTGCTAATGTAATTAACATGATACCTATTTCTGTTCTCATATTGTTGTCTTATCTTTTGTGACATGATCTGTTGACTGATAAGATGATTTCTGGATGACGACTTTGCCATGAGGATGCACGGATGTACCTTCCAAACTGGGACTAGATTAAGCCCAACACCTTATACCCGCCATACGTCCGCTCTCGCACCTTTAACCACCACAACATCAAGATGGCTAAGGCTTGGGGAGATGCACTTACGGAGCCAGAGAGGCCGAGGAAGAGCTGGAGCTGGTCGACTGCCCTTCGAAGCATTGTTCCTTTGCTAGGTTTTTGGCTACTGCTTCGAAATTACATCATCAGCGCCGACCACACGCCTCAATGGCATCGCGGCACAGACGCAGAGTCGAAGGCCAGATGTCACCAGCTTGAGCCTCTATTTCCATCAAAGAGCACAAAAGAACTAAATGACACCGAGAGCTATCTGCAGTCCGAAGATTTCCGCAAGCTCGCAATCGAACGTCTGTCCGGGGCCGTGCAGATTCCCACTCAAAGCTACGATGACATGGGCGATATCGGCGCAGACCCACGATGGGATATCTTCAACTCTTTCGCAGACTACCTGGCCAAGACCTTCCCGCTCACTCATGCGACCATTCAGCTTGAGAAGGTCAATACGCATGGCTTATTGTACACATGGCCCGGCACGGACCCCTCCTTGAAAGCCACGCTGCTTATGGCGCACCAAGACGTAGTACCAGTCCCAGACAGCACGGTCAAGCAATGGACGCACCCACCATTCTCTGGTTACTATGATGGAAAGTTTGTTTGGGGTCGTGGTGCGAGCGACTGCAAGAATCAGCTTCTGGCTATCCTCAATGCGGTGGAAGCGCTGCTGGCAGCCGATTTTACGCCTCGTCGCACACTCATCCTTTCTTTTGGCTTCGATGAGGAGATCTCGGGTCGCGAGGGCGCACAGCATCTTGCGAAGCATTTGCTCCAAAAGTACGGTCACAACTCCATTGCCGCCATTGTTGATGAGGGCGCTGCCAACGTCGAGAATTGGGGGGCCGACTTTGCTATTCCAGGTGTCGCCGAGAAGGGCTACATTGACGTTGATGTTGTCGTTCGAATGCCAGGCGGCCACTCGTCGGTGCCTCCCGTGCACAACGGAATTGGTGTAGCTGCTGAGCTTATCACACTGATCGAGCACGGTCTCTACGAGCCGCGCCTGGCTGAAGAGAATCCTTATCTTGGCCTTTTGACTTGTGGTGCTGAGCATGCCCCGGAGTTCCCAAAAAAGTTGCACCACCTGCTAGACAAGCGCTCCGCAAGGAGCCAGACTTGCAAAGAGAGACCAGATAGGCTCGCTGAGGAGGCTGCCAAGGCCGGCCTGAGTGTCAAGTACCTCTTCACTACCTCCGTTGCTGTTGACATCATCCACGGAGGTGTCAAGAATAACGCTCTGCCCGAGCGCACACAGATCATCGTCAATCACCGCATCAACGTCGGCTCGAGTTCGAACGACATCAAGACCCACATCTCCAAGCTCGCTGGCGTCATTGCGAAGAAATACAGTCTGAAGCTAAACGCGTTCAACGGCACAGAGGAGCCGTCCAGTATCACACTCTCCCACCGCACCACCGTCCTTGAGCCTGCGCCCGTAACGCCAACAACTCTGCATTCAAGCTCGTCAAACAGTACCCATGTCACCCCCTTCTCTATCCTCTCAGGCACCACACGTGCACTGTACGGCAAGGATCTCATCGTTGCGCCAGGCATCATGACAGGCAACACTGACACGCGCTACTACTGGGATTTGAGTGAGCATATCTTCAGGTATGCACCCGGTTGGGACAAGGAGCAGGCTGGCATGGGCAACATCCACACTGTTGACGAAAGGGTTGGCGTGCAGGCGCATCTTGACACGGTAAAATGGATGTGGGGCTGGATTAGGAACATGGACGAGGCAGGGTTATAGTCAGCTACATTCGATTGGGCGATGCGGTAGAAGTACATTTCGGGAAGAGAACAGAATGAGATTGCGATTCGTGGATTAAGTACCTATGAATAGCTACATCAAATCAGTTTGGTGCGCAATAAAGGAGCGGTAATCTGCGTGTCGCGATGAGGCACTCTTTTGAAACAATTTGATCGAAGCACATCTGCCGTACTGATTTACATCCTAGTAGTGTCCCTTGTCTGCGATACAGTACTCTGGCGCCGGTGTTCCTGGCAGCGGTCCTCTGGCAGCTATGTCGCATATGTTATTGGAAATGTAGTTCTTGCCCTTCGAATCGTCGAAGATATCAGCATCATTCTCCCCAAACCAATTATTCGTGATCGTATTGCCTTCGTTGACCGCCTGAAAGAGGTCCTCCAAACCCAAAAAGAGACCAGCACCTCCTTGAGGTGGGGCAAGGCCAGTGAACCCGATCTCGATCTTGTTGCCTTGGACAAGTGCATTCTTGGCCCCGAGGAGGGAGATACCAGCAGCGGAATCGGGTGGGCACTTCTTGTTCCAGCGGTAGATGTGGTTATCAATGCTCTTTGCGTGGGTGACATTGGGATCGATGATATTTCCTATGCAGCAATCATGGATATCATTGTTCTTGTTGACTCCACCGCTCGTCTCTGTGCAGAGAGCGATATTGTAGTTGGAGATATTGTTGTAGGAGAACTCTGCCGACGAAAGGTCGTCCATGCACATCCCAATGGGCCCATTCTGCAGGGTAGCAGGTGCAGAACCGATAACAATGTTCTCCGATGCCACAGTGCCCGTCGAACCTGCAGTGAGGAAGCCGTATCTGAAACCTGCTTTGAGCTTATTGTGGGAGACTTTGGTGTTCTTGCCGCCATAGACAGCAATGTTCGGACCGTCGAAGCCAACAACCTCGAAGCCGGATACTCGAACGTCTTTGACAGGGTCACCGACAGAATCTACTTTCCAGTGGAGGTCGAAGGGGGTATATTTATCGGCGAGTTCAATCTTTCTGCCGTGAATGCAGATGCCGGCACTCTTGTTCGTGGTGCCTGCATCGTCCTTGACCAAACCGTAACAGAAGTTGTGTGGATCGTAATGGCCGGGAGGAGATAGCCTAGCACCCTTGCCAATGAGAGATATACCATCCTTCGTGATGGTCAGCTGCTCTGCATGCTCTCCTTCGACTTCAATGCGAACGTAAGGTTTCGCACGATCAATGGCATTTTGGATGGACTGCCCCTCCTTGACGCGTATGACATTCTTGTTGTCTTTCTTGTCGTCCTTGTCGTCCTTGTTGTCATTGTGTTTGTCATCGTCTTCGCCGTCCTTGGGCGAAGGTATGGAAAGTGCAGGGCCGACGCAGAGCAGCAATGCTGCAAGCAGGACGAACAGTCGAAGATAGCTAAGTGATGAACGAGACATAGTGTGTAACCGAATCAATTGTGAAACTGGCCTCAGTGAGTGGAAAAGGTCTAAAGCTATACTGTGTTGCGAAGACTGTAACGTGCAGATTCCAAGCTCTTATGTTTACTCGAGGACGACCTGATATCCCGAGATGACCATCACTCGGAAACCCTGGCCTTTCAGCTCCAGCCACGTTATCCTGTTGGATTTTTGAATCCCATGTTGCCCAGTCGCTTAACACGCATAACCTTGTACAAGCGGGCAACGTCCACAGAATGAAGTGGGAATCTCTTGAAGTATTGCCTTGGCGACGGCATGTTACCTCAACTGGGTAGCAGCCCAGAGCGCCAGCTGAGTTGTTTGTTTGTTTTGCCTTAAGCCTTAGGCTCAAAGTAGTGATATTTGACGTACCGTCTTCGTATGGCGCTTCATAAGCGAGACGTTTGGAAGGCTACTGCGCATGCTCATCGTGTGTAGAAGATTCCCAAGGCGTGTTCATGTATGTAATCTGAAGTCCTTCACACTACATGCTTACACGTGTCGACGAGTGCATGCTCGTTGGAACTTTTGGCTATGAGTATCTCCATGTCCTTCGAGCCGTAAGGTATGGGTACCATAGACGGTAACTCCCTGCCAAAACTGGGAACTGTTCCAGACTGTAGCCTGCATGGCGATCGGTATGACGTTGTAAGAAGAAACGAGAACCGTATTCTTGGCAAAATCATTGAAAGCTTGCGGCGTGAAGCTTTTGCTGAGAGCTGAGCACTTGGGCGTCTGGCTGTCCTATAGTTTTGCGCAACACTCGCTTCGTGTACGTAAACCATCCAATGCGGACAAAGTGGACTAACAGCCTCGTCTTGGAAGAAGCTCAGCTGAAAATTGCCCCACTTTCAGCAACTCTGCGCCTAACTTTAATACAGAAACCAACCAGACGTGCTCATTGACAAGCAAGGAGGCCTCAACAGCAAGTGATCTTTTTCTGTTTCTGGTTGCTTGCGTGGGTGACCTCTGGAACTTTGGTAGCTAGGTGTGGAGAAGCAGGTCTTTCGGCTTTGGGCTGTTCACGCCGCAAGACCTCAACGCTAAAGGTCTGTTGCATTGAGGCATTGTCAAAGCATCATGCAGCAAGCTGAAAACTGGCTCAGGATCAAGTTTGCTACACGAAGATGCTGAGATTATGTCGACCTTGGGAAGGTTGGTGTATACAGCTGCCATAGCCCGGCTGCCACATCTAGGGGGAAACGCGTGTCGCGACCTCCTCCCAGCAACTGTCACGACGTAGAAGTGAAGTTTCACCTGGATTTTGAAAGAGGTGCACTGCACAAGCCCGCCGATGTCGTAATTGCTTTTTCCGCAACACTCCACAAACCTTTGTCTCCACTTCTTCACCTAGTTCGAGCTATACATATGTGTTCTACCCAAGATGAGTGCACTTCTGATTTGTGAAAACCTAAAGGCGCACGAGTGTCGATGGAGGCCTCACAAAATTGGCGCAGCATTGTTCGGTCCGCGCCTTTGCTGTCATCCACCAAGGCCATGACAACACCACCTTTATCATATAAAGGTGCGTTCGCCATCATCACACTTTTGTCCTGTTACATCTTTGTGCAAGCTTTCACCCTTATGGAGTGGGCCTGTGTTCCACGGTGTTGCGATAAAGTATATTGTACCGGGTATGATTTCAATTCGATACACATCTTACATCGAATGCGCCCACAAGATGACCCTAGACAACATATCTAACAGCAAAATCATGGACCTTATTTCTGCACCACAATCGCCTGAATCACGATTGCCCGAGAGTAGCGGAGAGGCACCTGATTCACTGCTTGCTGAAATCCCATCCGCGCTGTTTCGAGGATTACCGCTATCGGAATATGCAGCGGCGCAAGCAGCTTTGCAGGCGGCTGTTCTCCCACCTCTTCCTCCTCTACCACGACTATATCCGCGACGAGAGCGAGCTGTACTGGCAGCACGCAAGCGTTCTACAACCGGACCCACCGCAGCCGGATCCTTATCTCTGATCGGTCAGTGGCCAACGGGTGCTAACGTGCACGACTATGCCAGTTACTGTCACAAATGGCGTGATTGTGCATTTGATAGACGACCGTTGCTGTGGAACGAGCGTTTGCTCCGTCACAAAACTAAAGCTGTCATTACCAGCAAAAAGCAATGTGACTTTCATACGCAAGATGGGCCGCATCCACCACCACGAGCTGTATCAGCAGCTACGGTCAACTCACGTATAAACGCAGGAATCGGGCCGCCTCTGCCCTTGCGGAGAACGACCGAAGCAAGCGGCTGCGAACCCGGCGCGAGAGTTCCATGCTGTGTTACATCTGCTGTTCAGACATCATCATCAGCCCTACTAATTTGCCCCAAATGTATCAGCAGCCGTATTTCACGCCTCGAAGGAGAAGTCGGCGTATAGGCAACAGTACCAAAGGACCCGCGAGAGCGCTGAGAGACCATCGATTCAGAGTCAACATCGAACAAGGCTGGATACAGGGAGGTGATCGCCTCATAGGTGAGACTTGATGAGCTGACGTGACGTGTGTTCGTTCTGGAAACTAGCAGATATCTCACTTTGTCCCTTCCATCTCAGTTGAATGCGAATTTACCCTCAGAAGCTCTTTGTTCGTTTTTGTCGCGGTCAAAAAGGCCGACCTTCTTAACCCTAGAGTTCAGGAGGCTTTTATACACCGTTACAAGTTTGAAGAATGTCACAATGCTCTTTCAAGACGCAGCACACGTTCCTTGAGTAACAAAGCCGTTCTTTCGAGTGCAGCACTCGAGATGGTGATGCCAGAGTTTGGATTTCTATTTCTGGGCTCCGCATGTGTATGTTTCTGGATAAGTTGTCAAGTCTGCATTTTCCTTCTCATTAGTTATGCACATTTGAAATACGGACGTGAATCCTTTGTCCATGTTGGACAATCGTTGGAAGAAAAAGAACATGGACTCGTGAGGTATGTACATACAGGCGGGAGGAAGAGCCATAGGTCGAATTGCTGACCTTTTAGGGACGCAAGCAGGCAGACACAGCGCTGTCAGACAGTGTTTTTGGTGAAAAGTTTTGGGTAATTGCACTCTTGTTTCGAGGAGAGAGAAGCAGGCCATGAGACTGACCTCCATGCATGTTGAACGGAGGAGAGGAGCAGATACATATCAAGGCGTCCCATTTTATGTCAGCTATCTAGAATGCTCAGGCGCTCTACGTCTCAGAACTGCTCATGCAACAGGCGGATATGTATCCACTCACTTTGATAGATTTATCAATCAACCAACTTACCCCCCCCCCCTCCCCCCAATCTCTTCTCATATTGCTGCCATTTTGTTTGGCAGAGAGGCAGAGCAGACATTGCTGTGGCGTTGATGTAGTTTGGAGAAGAACAGAGCTGGTCATGGATTGGAGCCTCGAGTATTTTGAAAAGAGGAGAAGGGCAGACCATCGAACCTCTCACAGGTTGCTTTTGGTGATGGGAATCAAGGGATGTGATGGAGAAAGAATGGTTGTGCGAAGCAGAAGGAATTTATATGGCCCATGCTGGAGGGGTACGTGTACTAAGCAAGAAATCTTCGACATTGAAAGTTTACACTATCGCTACATGTGTGAGTCTACATCGTACACTACTCTTCCAGACCGCTGTTTACACACGCTCCCAACGCTTTAACCGCTCCCTTCCTTCCAGCGGTAGTCGTTCGAGTTGTACCCTCCCTGCCTATTGCCTCCACCTCCGTACCCTCCACGACCCCTTCCTCCACCGCGGTCGTTGCGCGGAGGGCGGTCGTTGTACGGATTATTCCCCTGATACCCTCCACTCCTTCCACCGCCCCCCTGGTAGCTATCTCTACCACCTCCACCGCTGTACGAATCCCTATTCGCGCCACCATACCCATTCCCACCCGCTTGACTCGGCGGCGGACCCCTAGGCTGCTGCTGTCCCATCCACGCCGGTCTCGCGGCCTGCTGCTGTCCCGGCGGTGCAAAGCCCGGAGGACCAGCAGGCGCGAATCCGCCCGGTGCGCCAAAGCCAGGAGGAGGAACCCACCCCGGCGGAGGCGGTGGAATCCCATTCTGCGGAGGCGGCGGCCAGGACTGCGCACCTGGCACAAACGGCGGTGCAGCGAACCCCGGTGGGCCAGCAGGGTAGCCGTTGTTGCCGCCTGCATAGCCGTTGTTGCCGCCTGCATAGCCGTTGTTGCCGCCTGCATAGCCGTTGTTGCGGTCGTTGTACCCGCCGTTGTTGTAGCCTCCGCGGTTGTTGTTGTATCCTCCACCGCGTCCGCCGCGACCGCCGCGGTCGTTGTAGCCTCCACCTCGCCCGCCTCGATATCCACCGCGGCCACCGCGGTCTTGGTTGCGCTTTACGGCGGCGATTTCGCCTTCACTGAGGACGGCGGTGGGGAGCTTGACGCCTTTGAGGAGGACGGATTTGTGGGCATTGTCGGCAGTGAGAGGGGGCATTTCGTAGTAGACCCTGGTGGGTTGTTAGTGATGCATGTGAGAAGGGAGAACTTAGGGGTACATACCTCATTGAGCCGTCTTGCACGATCTCGAAGTCGGTTGCGCCATCGGCATCAAAGGGTGGGACGAGCTGGCTGTCTGGGACGAAGAGGTCGTGGGGTTCAATCTCGCCATGGAGAGCGCCAGACTTGTTGGGGTCGATGGTATGCTTCTTGACGGCGGTGCGGTAGAGCGCTGTGTTGGCGTCGTTGAAGAGCTTGCCGTCTTGCGAGAACATGAGTGTCTCCTTGCCGAACTCGTTGCGCGCCTTCTCGTCAGGCGACAACTCGGGGTACTTGGTTGCCATGGCTTCGAGGAGTCGCTTCTCGTCGATGAACGGCAGGACAGCGACACCTTGCCAGGCGAACTTCTTGCCGTTGAGATCGATAGGGAAGTCGACAGGGTAGAAGTCATAGATCGAGGACTCCGGGTCTTCCATGAGAACTCGGAAGGGTTCTGGAATGGCGTGGTTCGAGGCAGCAGGCAACACACCCATGAGCTGCTCGTAAGGGTGGAAGGGCTGGCCCTTCTCGAACAGCTCGCGAGGGTTCATGTCCTCGAGACCTACAAAGTCGGCGGCGAAAGGGGCGTAGTGGTGAGGGAAGTACCATGTCCACGACGGGCAGCCTTGCATATAGTATGCCAACACCCAGCAGAGACCCTCGGCGTACTGGCGAGCAACCTTGTTGCGGAAAGCAATGTCATCAGGTGCAACGTGGAACTTCTGCTGGTAGTATCGCTCCTCGTAGCCGGGCTCCCAGAGCATGATGGTGTCCTCTGGCGGGGCATCGTCCTTCTTCTTCTTCTCCTCCTCAGCCTGCGCTGGGTCGTCTGGCACGACAGGAGTGTTACGCCCGGGTGTGCCGTTGTCCGCATCCTCGATCTCATCTGCCTTACGCTTGCCGAGATGAACAGGCGTATCGGCACCAGAGGCTGACTCGGAAGCAGGGGTGGACTCGTCTGTAGGAGGAGCGGTACCGTCTGCCTTGGTCTTCATCATTTCCTTCAGGCGTGCCGCAGCGCTCTTGTTCGTCTGCAGATCTCGGTTGTGGAGCACGTCCTTGTGAGCATCGCGGACCTCGCTCGACTGCGCATCTTGTGGAGCGAAGAACAACACTCCTGAATTCATGTAGGTGCTTGTGTCCTCCTTGACGCGCTTGAAGGGTGGTGCGCCGTTGTTGCGATCGTTGTGTCCTCCGCGGCCTCCTCCACGCCCCCGGTTGTTGCCAGCCTCGCGCTGAGCACGCTTGGCAGCCTGACGGTCTGACACTTCCTTGCGCTTCTTAAAGATGTCAGCTTCCTTGCCGGCGAGAGCGGTCAAGATCTGCTGCACGCGGCGCATGTCTGGGAATCCGTCCTTGGTCACGTAATCGTCCATCTCAGCGGCCAGCTCTCGCCAGATGCTGATGAGGAGATCGATACCCTGATCACGAATCTCCAGACTGGGCAGGTGAGGTAGGAAATCGTTACCGACGAAGAAACACATGAAGACCCAGTCGTCAAGGGCGCGTTCTAGGTCGTGAGTGAACTTCCTCTTAGGTGTGTCCATCTCGACTGCTAGATACTCGCGAAGAATACCAGTGTGAAGCCAGATGTAAGGCTTGAGCTGGTGCTCAGAAGAGGCCCACTCTTCAGCAGCCTCTTCTTCAGTGAGCTTCTTCCCATCGTCGGGGAACTCACAGTTGTTGCGAATGTGGCCCTTGCGTCCACAGCGTGTGCAAACCTTGTCCTTACCCGAGTCGAAGAAGACGTCTTCTCTGAGAACACGGAAGCGAGGCTCATGGGTTGCAAGACTCAACATGATCAAATCGGCATCCAAACCGTAGATGACGTGAGAAGTGTTGGGGTCATGTGTGGGCATAGCGCGTTGCGAGCGAACAAAGTTCATGATCTTGTGCTCTCCTTCACCAGGCACAGAGGCGTCAGAGATGATGACTTTCATGTCCTTCCACGAAGGGTCGGTTGTGAACTTGTAGGCACACCAGTATTGAAGAGACTCAGCAAGAAGATGCATGAACGGTGTACCGGGCGTGATAGCGTTAGAGTCCCAGGTCTTCTCGACGACCTCCTCTATGCTGTTGATGTCCTCACCACGACTGGCTTTCTGCGAGTTGAGCATCTTGACGAACTCAGCACGTTCTGCATCCTTCTCAGCGGCCTCCTTGGCAGAGCGGAAACGACGAGAACGCTGCTGGTTCATCTTTGCACGTGGGGCGACACCATCAACAGCCATGTAGAGCAGCTTGCGAGGGCGCACCATACCGACCACACGGTCAGTGTACTCAAAGATGGCAACCATCATGTCAGCCTCTGTCTTGGGCGCAGGCTTGTCCTCGGGGTGCGAGCACGGATGAACGATGCCGTTCATGTCGAGGTACAGATTATCGAACTCCTCGCCGTTGGGGTTCGGTTTGGTGCGGTCGACTGGAATGACCTGGTCGCCAACCTTCTTTGGCTGATCCTCTACGACACTGGACACAATCTTGGGGTATTTCTGGCTGAGCCAGCGGAACATAGCGGGGACACCCATGTTGGCGGGTGGCGCGCGGTGACGTGTAGTGTATTGGGTGTAGTAGGGGCGCGACTGAGGCGAGACGTGGCACTGGAGAGAGCGAAAGCGCGAATACTAAGGCGCGAAGGGCCTGTTATAGTATTTGCGGCACACTACAAGAAGATGAGAAACGCTGCTGTCGACCGTCCGTCGATGCTTGCAGCCTGGAAGAGAAAAAGGCGGACTGTGGACTCGGACGCTGCTCGGGAGCGACCACGGTGAAGTGCAAGAGATTTGCGATGATCACACGAATATCGCAGTCGCGATCCTGTGCCCTGTTACCGGGCGACGCGACGAGGGGATGGGGTTGGTGGGGTGGAGGAAAGAGGGTGCGCAAAAGGCAGAGGCCGCAGTGAGATGATTTCGCCAAGACCCGGGGAGCCGCCGTTTCGCCGGCAGGGCAAAAGCGTCGTCTTGGAGCCGCAGCCGCAGCCTGCTGAGTTGATTGTCCGTGCCCCGAATTTGTACGTGGAACGTGGAGAGACGAGCCGGGACGCTCGATCAGGTGTAGCATTCCCATGCATTCCTTCTGGTAGCCCTCTATTGTTCTGGCAGCCTTCTGTTCTCCTGGCAGTCGTCTGTTCTTCTGGCCCTTTCATTCTTTGCCAGTTGTTCGTTGTTGTTCGTTGTTGTTCGTTGTTGTTCGTTGTTCTGGACAGTTTTCACCGTCACTCGCGCACAACAAGAATGCACGCATAGCTGCCCTAGCTTTCTCCCGCGAACATGATGCGCGTACTCGAGGCCAACGCGCCTCCCAAGCAGACGGCCACCGACACAATCAGCACACTCAGCAGCCGTCTGTCGAGCGCAACTCTCCTCGAAGACCGCCGCGCTGCCATTCTCGGACTGCGCAGTTTTGCCAAAGAGTACCCTGCATCCGTTGCTTCAGGTGCTCTGCGCGGGCTGATAGCATCCCTCACCAAGGATGCGGACGATGTGGACACGCTCAAGGTGGTGCTGGAGACGCTGCTTGCGCTCTTCCACCCCAATGACAACAGCCCTGAGGCCTCAGAGGAGATCGCCATGTGGCTGGCGGACGAGTTCACCATGGTGCGCACCCCCTCTCTTTCCCTCAATGTCTGCCAGAACTGAGCTTATGATAGCGCCAAGATAACATGACCGTGCTCCTCGACCTGCTCGAAACCCCCGACCTCTACTCGCGCCTCTACCCGCTCCAGCTGATGCGCGCCTGCGCCGAAGCACGGCCAGAACGCACCCAGGAATGCATCCAGACTGCGCCCATGGGCACGAGCCGGCTGGCTGCCATGCTCGACGACCCTCGAGACATGGTCCGCAACGAGGCACTCGTAGTGCTGTCCGATCTTACCCGCTCCTCGTCCGAGCTGCAGAAGATCTTCGTGTTCGAGGACGTGTTCGGGAAGGTCTTCAACATGATACACGGCGACGGTGGGCTTACACAGGGCGGCATAGTGGTGCAGGACTGTCTCTCGCTCTTGGCGAACCTCATCCGGTTTAACACATCGAATCAGACGTACTTCACCAAGATGGAGTATCCCGGCCAATTCGTCAGCCTTCTTCCTGGTGGAAAAAAGGCAAAGAAGGCCAGAGGTGCCGTTGAAGAGGAGGATGACTGGGTCAGTCCCCAGAGCGCCAAGAACATCTGGGGTCTGCTCATCATCATGCGCATGTTCCTGGTCAAGGGAAGCGCAGCAACGCCGCAGAACCAGACTGCTTTCGTCCAGTACGGGCTCGTCAGACAGCTGCTGAACATCGCGTTCGATCCAGCAACAGCCATGTTGATCAAGGTCGAAGCCCTGAGCACCTGTGCGGACCTGATCAGAGGCAACCCGCGAATGCAGGAAGGTTTCGCTCAGGAGCAAGTGCGGCCTTTTGTTCAGCCTGCAACCAACGGTGTCGCAGACGTCTATGTGATCGAAGCACTCCTGAACCTTGTTTTGGCCCCAGCTTCGAATGAGCTCTTCGATATTCGCAACGCAGGCGCAGACGTCATCAAAGCCTACTTCCACAACCACCCTCAAATCCGGGAACACTTCCTCAACCGCGCTATCGGGGGCCATGAAGCTGGAGATGAAACGCAAAATGCGCTGACCATCTTAATGGAAGGGTCGCAAACCTCGCCCGGTGACCCCTACCGGATATGGTTTGCAGCCACCCTGATCTTCGACCTGATCTTCGACAACTTGCACGCAAAACACACGCTGATGCAAGTCAAGGAGGGCGATGCAGAAAGTGGGGAGGAGGTCGTCACGTGCATCCAGACTTTGACCGCCAATCTGATCGCGAGTCTGCAGCTTGAGGAAGACGAGCGAATATCGATTGGCTATCTCATGCTTCTGCTAGGTTGGCTGTTCGAAGACGCTGCAGCCGTAGACGACTTCCTTGCCGAGGCGAGCAGCCTGCAAAGCCTTGTGCAAGCGGTGTTGAAACCCGGCAGCGACCAGACGATCAACCGCGGCCTCTGCGCAGCACTGCTCGGCACAATCTACGAGTTCTCAACGAGAGACTCGCCCGTGCCACGACGCGAGTTGCAGGGTACCCTCACCGGCAAGCTCGGACGCGAAAAGTACCTCAATGCCATCACCGAGCTACGCAACCACCCCCTCATCCGCGACTTTGAGGTTCTGCCTCAACGAAGCGGAGGCGAGGGAAGCCTGCCGGATGTGTTCTTTGTCGACACATGCGTCGACTTCCTCAAGGACAACTTCAGCCGACTGATCCGGGCGATCGACCGCAACCCAAATATTGAGCAACATCAATCACATGACGGTGTCGATCGCGATGTGGTGGATGCGCTGCGGGGCGAGATCGATGGAAAAGAGCATAGCATTCAGGAGCTGAAAGCACAATTGATGGCACTAGAGCAGAAACTGGACCAGGAGCACGCCGACCACCGCAAGACACAACAAGCAGCAGACGAGCAAAGGAACACCCTTCAGCGTATCAACGATAAGCTACACAACGACCTCGATATCGAGATCAAGGCCAAGGATCGCGAACACAAAAAGTCATCACTGGAGTTGGAGAATAAGTACAACCTCCAAATCGCAGCGCTCAACAACAAGCTTCAGCAGACGGCGAAGGAGTCGACCCTCGCTGTATCACGGACAAAGCAGGAGTACGACGAGAAACTACACGAAGCGTACAGGTCTTCAACCGAACTACAACGCCGTCTCGAATCTGCAGAGAAAGCCCGTTCGGATGCTTTCGAGAAGATTCAGCAGCTTGAGAAGGCACACCAACAGGCCCGCAACGAGCTTTCATCTGTAAACGAAGCACTACGCAAGACGCAAGCGCAAGCGCAACAGCATGATGCTCAGATTCAGCACCTTACCGAAGAGAATGAGTCATTGCAGTCGACAGTTGACAAGTTGAAGTCAGAGCACCAGACCGCTATCGACAAGCTCAAGGCGGAGCACCAAGCCCACATCCTCGAACTGGAAGCCGCAAACGAGGCTGCCAACCAGAGCGCACTTGACAAGATGAAGTCGAGTCACCAGAGCGCAACGGACAAGCTCACGTCCTCGCACAAATCCGAACTGGAGAAGCTGAAGTCCGAGCACAAGTCCGCGAGCGACAACGCCACTAAGCAGTCTACCGACCAAAAGTCTACAGTGGACAAGCTCTCATCCGAGATCACCGACCTCAAGACCAAACTACAAGACCAAACATGGAAAGCCACCGAGGCGCAGCAGAAACTCACCAAAGCGGAAGCTGCGACTAAAGAGGCTCAAGAGAAGCTCAAGAAAGCAGAGGCCGCTGCTAAAGAGTCGAATAAGAAGGACACCAAGGCGGACACCAAGGCTGCCGACGTCAGCAAGAAGCTCATCAAAGATCTGCAAGACAAGCTCAAGAAGTCTGAGGAGGCGGAGAAGGAGAAACAGACTGAGCTTGACGACCTGCTCGTTATCTTGGGCGACCTCGAAGAGAAGAGGAGCGCGGACAAGGTGCGTCTCACTACGTCAGCAACATTGAGGAGCGATGTACTAACAAGTGGCAGAAACGACTCAAAGAGCTCGGCGAGGAGATCAGCGATGCTGAGGATGACGACGATGATGATGATGATGATGATGATGATGACGACGAAGAGGACGAGGAAGACGAAGAAGAGGAAACGTAGAACGTTGTTCTGCCAAGGGGCAGATCCGGAACTGTCTGGTGTTCCACACACGGGTGTACTCTTGAGCACTGAGATACCAGGCTTGGTCATGGGTAACGATTGCATACTATTAGCTTCTGGCATACAGCCTCTGCAAGTTTGGGAAGTAGTCACATCGAGTTCTCGCAAAGCTCATAAGCTTTCGAATAGATAAAGGACTACAGCGCATCCGCACACGCGACGATCGTGCAAACACGCAGTTGTGCCTTGATTGACAAATTTACAAGGATGTATGCATGTCGCTCGATCTGGTAAAGCGCGATCTTCGCGATGCAGGTGCGCTGACGATGCAGCCTCCCATCTTTACCCCTTCCACTTTGCGTGCGCGCTCTCTCATCACTAAGCACCCAGCAACAGCACCTTTCAAACCTCCCCTCAAGCTTTCCAAACCACTTCTTTAGACCCCAACAGCCAGAGCAACCGCGAAGGTCAGGCCACCCTCCACAGACTTGCTATCTTGACCCCGCCTCACAACATTGTGACCCGCAACCCAGAGCAACCCTATTACTCAACGATCAACCCGACCCAGTAGCCGACCAGTCAATCATCCTAAATCCCAGTACATAGCGTCTACACCCACCGCCGAGGTCTACAGCCGCCCACCATGCCAGACTTTACCCTCGAAACTCCCCACGGCATCATAAGCATAACAGACACCGGGCTCAAAAACCCCTCTCCCGCCCTACTCCTACTCCATGGCAACTCCTCGTCCTCTAGAATCTTCCGGCATATGCTTACCTCCCCCACCCTATGCTCCCAACACCGCCTCATCGCCTTCGACCTCCCCGGCCATGGCGCAAGCAGCAACGCTCCGCACCCAGCGAAATCTTACACCATGTCCGGCTACGCAGACCTCGCAGTCTACATCCTCGAGCACCTCTCTATCGAGTCCGTTGTAGTCCTAGGCTGGAGTCTCGGCGGGCATGTTGCGCTCGAGATGGTTCCTGTGCTGAAACGCGCTTCTGAGCGCGGATCCAGAATCGTCGAGTTGAAAGGGATCATGTTGACGGGTACTCCGCCCGCTCTTGGAGCCGAGAATTGCGCAAAGGGATTTAAGATCCCTACTAACCCTGATGAGGGGGAGGAGAATCTGATGGGGAAGGTGCATTGGACGAATGAACAGGCTGAGGCTATTGCGCGCAACTCTGCGCCTGGAGGCCATGAGGAGCTTTTCGAAGATTGGATGTTGAATGATGCGATTCGCACGGATGGGCGGGCGCGGATGATGATGTTTGAGGCGTTTGTTGAGGGGAGGGGGGTGGATCAGGTGGGTGTTGTTGAGGGGGAGGATGTGTTGATTGCGGTCGTTAATGGGGCGGATGAGCCGTTTATTAATTTGGATTATATTGATGAGTTGAGATGGAAAAAGCTGTGGAGGGGCGAGTGTGTGAGGTTGCAGGGGAGGAAGCATGCACCGTTCTGGGAAGATATTAAGGGTTTCGAGAAGCTGCTTTTGGAGTTTCTGAAAGACTGCGCGGCTGAGGAGTAGATGTAAGTCAGGAGGTAACGCAACTACCAGGACGCCACGTGCTATGCGAGTACAAAAACGTCTTACTCTTCTCACTGACTTCTTTCGTCCATTACCGTCTTCTGCTCCGAAATTCAAAATGGCATTGAACATGGTCATGCCTCTGCTTGCCTCTTTTTTCTCCGAAACAGCGCGGATGATTCCACATGTTCATTCTCCTCTCTTCTTCCCTCCACTTTGCTCGAGGCCAAGCGTTCTCTCGAATATGTCTACCATCCTCCTGTATCAACACAGTGAGCTACCCGAACTTGATGACTGTTTCTCTTTCTCAACATAGGCTTCATGATCTGGAATGGCCTACTTGCCCGTCCTGTGAAACGACACCACAGTAGTGGATGTAACAAAACCCACAACAGATATGTTCATGCCCTCTGTCGGAAAGAGCAACTCACTGTTGCCATGTCTTCCCCTCACCTTTCGAAACCATTATCAACTATGTGCACCCCTGGATCTTTGCTGCTAAGTGCCTACCGACCAGGCGTCTTATTTGTCTTAGCATCAAGAAAGCTTTGGCCTAATTTGCTCCTTACAACAAGCTGCTAAATGAAAACCATGAGCTGGATATGTACAAGGGAGCCTCATCTTTTACCCTAACTTCATTCCTCCATCAGTCAAAATTATTGGAGGGACTTCTGCACGTTCTGTCTGTCTCTTTTTCTAAACACAAAATAGCACAGAAACATGTTCGGCTCTATCCTCAAAAGGACTTGCGGAGCTTAGGATGTCTTTTCTTCTTTCTCTGCCGAAAAATCGACATCCTCGACTGCATGTCTATTTCTCTCAATACAATATTCAAATGATGAAGCAACATGGAGGACAGGCCGATGCACTCGATGATTCAAAGTGCGGAAGTGTCACTTGCCACATGTTGGCGAACTCCACATACCTAGTATTTCTAATACTACGCTCTTCCCTCTAACAAACTCTTCTGACAGTCTTTTCTCAAAGATACGATCATGCACATTGACGGAATAGAGTCCCTGCCTTCCTCAACGTCTCCCACCCAATACTGATGTTCCTTCCTATTCCACCAACACTTTGGATCTGTTGCCACATCTGTAAATCCGAAGCACAAGGCAAAATCCCCATAGGAGAAGTGCCCTGGCTCGAAGAACGAAGGAACGTGGGCTATGGTTGCGGTCTGTAGATCAAGGACGATGAAATCACCACCATTACAACGCATGGGCCTCGGGGTATATGATTCTTGTTCAGACACCTGACTTTCACCTCCAACCAATGCTCCATTGGGTTTTCGAAAGCTATCTGAGAACGAGCTGATGATCGTTCCACCAAAACAAACTGCCGATGCCCTTATGACTTCCCCTGCTCTCTGTCAGCCGATCTAAACCTTTGAACACCAATATTGTCTTTCTAGCGCTCAAATGCTACCAATGTCAGTGCATGTTCCAAGAAGCACATCTAACTGAATTCCTCGAGGCAGACACACATGGGTACGCAACAAGGAGTGGGTAGCAAATCGACGACCTCAAAGCTAGCCAGCAATACTACATGTCCGTCAAACTTCTGTCGATCGGATTTTTCTTCACACCCTGGGTTTTGCTACCACATTCCGTCATTGCTAATGCGGAGGGCTTGGCGCACGCCACACACCACCACACATGGGGAACTGCATGTGCCATTCAAAAAAAAAAAGCACTACATGGTCAATGCAGACGCCTCGCAAACTTTGAGACTCGCTCAAAACTCAAAACTGAAAGGCACTGACAGAGAAGTAGTTGACCACTGTTAAATAATGCTCCAAGCAAACCTTGTTTCATTACTATTGATGATTACCATTGTCCCTGACTGCCACATGTCCACTAACCCATATTTACATCTCGCCAAACATGGCCTTCCGCATTCTATAGACTCATTCCTCCTCATACTCTACGCCGTCTTCTCCGCTGTAGCTTTCGTCCTGACTGTAGCTTTACTGTCCAGCGTACTGACGCTTCGAGCTGCCACCGTCCTCAGGAAGTCTACAGGCAGAGCGTTCCACGGTGAGTCATCAAGACTGAGCTTGTCTGCGGCGTCGTCATAGTCTCCTGCATTAATGGCATCAGCAAGCTCGCTCGTCTGGTCGACGTCATCCCAGGGCTTCGGGCCATCTGGACAATCGTAATTGTTGTCAAAGTCGTCCTCCCAGGGCTGCTTGTCATCAGAGTGTTGGTGATCATCTGTTCCATCATCTTCCCAAGGTGCGCTGGCGTCGTTGTAATGACCGTTGTCGTAGCTAGGGCCATTATCATATTAGGGTGGTGCTAGGGATAAGAAGCAGGGGCATCTGTGGAATATGGCTCGCAATCAGGCTCCTTATTCAGGTAGGGCTCAGGCTGATATTCAGGAGTCTCTGGTGGGTATTCAAGATAATCTGGAGCCTTGGTGGGGTAGTCATCTTTTGTGGGATAAGACTCCGGAGTCTCAGTTGGGTAGGACTCAGGCTTGTAGTCATCATCTTTCTCAGTGGGTAGGCAGGGACAGGTTCAGGCTTGTAGCCATCGTCCTTCTTCTTGCAGTCCGTGGGGTAGCTGGTCACAGTGCCAGTGTAGCCAAGAACACTAACGGTTGAAGTGTGGGACTCCCAGCCAAAGTACTTCTTGCAGGCCTCGACGATGGTAACGTCATCATACTGGGCGAGTCGGCATGGCCTGTCGACGCACCATGCAGCGCGCTCCTTCAAGTCGCGAGCATGGCGACGGTAGGGTGCCGGTGTGGCAGCTGGGTAGTCGGGATAGACAGTCGATGTGCTGAGAAGGCCGGAGAAACAATGACTTTACGTCCAGTAAGTGGTCCACGTGGTACTTGTCACGGTGACGTCGTAGCCACCAATGAGCACATCGGTTGGGGGAGGCTGGTCAGTAGCCTGCATGCATTAGCCGAGTTCGTTCTGAAAGTCATATCAGTCCGCATACCTTTGTGGTTTCGTCTGGAACCTTAGTGCTCTCGTCGGGGGCCTTAGTGCTCTCATCAGGCACCTTTGTGGTCTCATCCGGAACTTTGGTCGGCTTAGATGACCGGTAGCTCTTGGCAGGCTCAGGTGTCGATTCAGGGGTTTTGGTAGTCGTCTTGTAGCCCTCAGCATCGCAGGTCTTCGCATGAGGATACTCGGTAACAGTGACCGGGTATCCAGTAACTGTCACGTATTCGTCCTCTGACTGGTAGTCATAAGTCCAGTCGTGGTAGAAGTCGGTAGCGAGATCGGAGGGGAAGTCATCGAGCAACGCGTGAAGTAAGATTGTCTCGGCATGACGGACAGCACTTTATCTGAATCTCAAGTCAAAGAAAACTCAGTGTGGTTGATCTGCTGTTTTCAGCACGGTAGTTTTGATGTTATTTTCACACTTTGAGTGGGAGCTGCATGAAGCCGTCAGCGTTAAGGCTTACCAAATACGGAAAGTTGTGTAAAGCTTCATGTACTCGCTTGAAGCTCCTGCTGCCGAATGTGGAGAACCTGGAATTGTGTAGCGCAAAGCACGTGATGGACTACCACGGAACCAGAAATCTTAGGAATGTAAACTACCCAGTCGTTTGCAGAGCGTTCTTTCATAACGCTTTGAGAAGTCCCTCGTGTTTCACATCCCAACTTCCGTCTTTGGGAAAGCCAGGAGCATCGCCTTCTGAGCCTTGCCAACCGGCTGCGCAGTACGCAACAGCGAGCAAGAAGCCAGCGTTGCCGGGCATGAACGGGGGTGGTGTCCCTCCGTCGCCGCCTCTGATCGCATATCCCGCGTCATCGAACTTCCAATAATCGTAAGCAGTGAGGTGATAAATGGCGCGCTCAGGGTTTCCGATCTTTGCACTGTTGATTGCAAGAACCGGGCGTCCCCAACCGCGAATACGGTCATCACCCCAAACGTCCCAAACCTTGTCTGCAGTGCGCAGAGCGACTTCTGGATTGACCGCTGGCGTGTCAGGCAGTATGCCTTGAAGCATTATGAGGCTGCGCGGATCACCAGTGAGCTTCGTATCGTTCCACCAAGAGCTGTTTAGCCCATCGTAGACTGCATACAAACCATCGACTATCGGTGGTAGTGCGAGGTTTGCGGCTACGTGTACCCACTTGTCCGGAACCGTTTGGTGTTGTTTCCGTTTCCAGTCGATAGCGGCGTCTAGCCCATAACGCCAGTATGCAAGCTCATAGGCCATATTTCGCGTCGAGTTCGGTGGAGTATTTTCAGTCACACCGTATGCTGGTGGTCCGAGGTCGTATTTACCTGTAGTAGTGTTGAGGCCAGGATACGACGCCATGTAGTCCGCAGTCGCAGTGAGTACCTTGTCCCAGCGTTGCAGTGTGTCCCTCGTAGGTTTAGCCTGGTAGGCTAAGTTTGCAAGGTAGAATGGATGCGGTTGTTGCCACATGAGAACCGCATTAATATCTCCAGGAGAACTGACGCCAGTCTCCAGTTCCGTCATCTTAGGCCATCGAGCACCTTCCCAACCCATTGACTTGGCACGAGCGATTGACGAAGGCAAAAGTGTTTCGTACACTTCCGGGAAAATGTTGTCGAAATACTTTTGCTTGCCCCAAGTCGACCAGTGAGCAAGGTGCCAGATTACCATTTCCATATGGAATTTGCCTATCTATTATTAGTGATTTGATCTTACCAAAGTCGTCTGCGGTTGTGACGTACCGTACCAGCCATTGTTCATCAGCCCGCTCTCTTGCGGCGGTTGACCACTGCCTGCGCTATTGACACGCACGTGGTATTGCGACTTGATGATTCGTCGCTGGAGTTCGGTCGCATTAGGGTTGGACGATGCAGTCAGGTCGACGAAACCGCCATCCCTCCAGTACGCATTCCACTCGCGGGCATTTTTGTCTTGAATCTTGGCAGGAAAGCTTGGTACACGTGAGTCCGGCGAAAAGTGAGCCGTGAAAGCTACGGAAGAGGTGTTTGATACCGAGCTCAACGTGTATCGGTGTGCAATAATGGCCGTTGAATTTGGAGGTTCATTTCTAGACAGCTTCAAGGGCGTCTCCTTGGGCCAGCGGAGGTTGATAAAGTAACTCGTTTCCTGCAGTATGTGTTGGATGTGCGCAAAAGTACGATCCGTTCCGTCTTCGGAGAGGATCGTGGTGTGGTTCAGTGGGAAATCATACACGCCTGCGAATACTTCGTACTTGTACTGTGTCGAGTGGATTGGAGGGTACGGGAAGTCCAGTTCGACTTGCAGAACGCCAGACCGTACGAGGTCAGATTCGATGCTGATTGCTACAGCATCGGAGTCAAAATCGCCTTGCGTGATAACCTTCACAGTCTTTTCCGCAACCTCGAAAGTTGACGTGATTGTACCACTCCAGAGATCAAGCTCTTGTGTAGGATTGGTGATCTGAGATTTGTTGAGCGCAACACCCTCATACCTGAGGCCAATACGACCTAGGTTGATGCGGTTAGGGTTGCTGATGAGCCACTGCGTAGCTTGTTTCAACTTTGGATCCGGAATATCATAGAATACCTCCCGGCCGTACGTATCTCTTGGCAGGCCCTTGTAGTCCGAAGGTAATTCGCTGCATCAGTCGTCAATGTGTGATCAGCTAGAAAATAGTTTGAAGAGCATTGTACCCATTGGCTGGAAGTGAGTCGTTGTGCCATGCCCATGAGGACAAAGTATTGAACGGCAGAAATGTCTGTCATGTGAGTTCAAGCTATGGAAAACAGGGGCTCGCGGCTGAACGTACCTGCAGACCAGTGTTGTCTACATTGAACGCAAAATTGCCATTGCCGACCTGAAGTGGTGTCGTCTCATTGTCAATCAAGCTAGTTCGGACGATGTTGAATTGCGATACGATCCTCTCCCTAGGTGTAATCAGCACATATCCACATTGTATCCACCAAGTGTGGCATCAGACCCACCTATCAATCTTGCCAAATACCACACATGGTGCCAACAAGGCATAGTAAAGTTGCAACAAACCGGGCCGCATGATGCTAGGTCTCTACCAAACTATGCAACAGCTGTCGATGCTGAGCTGGAGCTACCACGGGTCAAGTAAGCTCTGAAGCCTTGTACCATGTCATAGTCCGGCATCAACATCCTTCGAGGACCGCCAAGTGACCCCATGAGGAGGTCTTATTCCGGGGTAAATGTATACCGAAGGAATCACAACCTTGATGATCTCAGCAAGAATCGGGCTAGCGCCAACCGTTCCCCGCTGTACCACCCAAGTAATTCTTCCGGTTGATTTAGCCGCTGAAAACAAGCCTGGGTGGGTGCAAAAACAGCTCCATTTCATACTTTAGTGTGTATGTATCTGTACAGGTATGATGACAGGTTCCTCTGTTTGTTCTTACTGCCATCTATAGGCGTCTCCAGGTAAGAAAAAGTTTGCCTCTTCAAAGGTGATGACGCGATCCATGTCAAGAAACTGAGAGTCCATAAAAGTATCGGAGAGGTTCAGTAGAGATTGATCTTGCATAGCTTGCTGATTGTTCGGTGCACCAGGTATGCTACCAAAGTGAGAGTTTGGAGCGACGCCATGGCCCAGTTGATATACATTCTGACCGTTGTTGGAACGAGCAGCGTTCGAGTAGAGAGTCGCAGCTGCGGTTGCAAGACCGTTCGGTGACATGGCATCGATATTCGGAGGGCGTCCGCATTGGGGATGTGCATATTCTGTTGGAGAAGCTCCAGCGGTAGCAGGTATTGTAGTGTGTGAGGTTCTTCGTCTTGGGCTGAGCGCAGTATGTACGTTGTTCAGGCTCTGATGCCTCACGTGGCCTAGATGAGCCCGATCTTGTGCAAAGCTGCCCGTCCTCTGTAATGGGGTCATAACGTTCATGGGACTGACATACTGTTGAGGCTCTAATGACTGGCAGGTATGGTCATAGAAGTCGAATCGATAATGCGGATCCTGAGAACTTGCTTCCTGGAGGCGCTCGAGGTGATGTGCGTATATTCCTGCTTGGTTTACAGGTCGTGCATCTGTGTCGCTGCTTGCACTGTGCTCCCATCGTTTGGACATCTCCCACAGATCGCGTACTAGTTGGCCAAACTCAGGTCGTAGCGGGCCTCGATGGTGATCGAACAAAAGAGTTTTGGCGGCTACAAATGCACAGAAAGCAAACTGAGCGTTGACGAATGGTATCGGCGTGTAGGTAAGAAATTTACTGACAATATTCGAGGTTTCGATAGCAGCAAGCTCGCATGTCTGTGCACTGCATTCTTTCGGCAGTGCGACGTAGTCATTCCAGCTCTTTGCCGGATATGCGATAGGATGGTGGAGTAGGATCATCGAGGTGTTGTGCGTGATGTGCGCAAGGGTAAGATTCGGATCCATGTTGATCACTGTTCTGTCCTCTGAGATGTTCGAATCCTTCCAACGTGACGGCAGAAACAATTTCCATTGTACCAGTCTTAAGTCGAGTTCCTTGAAACGGGTCAGCCAGCTGACTGCATGCTCTTTATCCTGAGCGTTGATCCTTTGCTGCAAGAAGAACGTCGTCACTTGGCTCAATGATTCTGTAGCTTCCACACAATACGCAAAGGCGCCTAGTTTCGACGCGTCGATATAGCCGTTGGCTGAGTTGGGGCTGGCGCCTTGAGGCTGCTCGGATGTGGGGTCCTCCTCGCTGTACGGAGCGGGTACGTTCGCCAGGGACCGACCGATTCGTGCAGCCGCTTTGTTCCAGATACCAAAGTACGGTGTAATGACGGGTTCTTCGCGGGTAAAGTAGCCACCATCTGCTGGCAATCGTCTATGGACGTCATCAGAGGTCAAGCTTGTGTCCCACCCTGTAGTCACAGAGCAGAAACGGTCGAGCATGAAGATTATCCAGAACAGCCTTCTGCGTTCTTCGAGCTCCGTCCAATCATTCGATGGCTGCACCAGCCGCACAGGCCGCATGAGTGAGCCAGATTGCGATGCAGCGGAAGGCTCAGATGTCAGCTGGAGGTAGCCAATAGTTCTTGTAAGGCTGCCAATAAGTGGCCACGCGCGATGATTTTGGCCGTCACTGAGCTGCAGGATGTTAATCTGCGAATTGATGAGTGCATAATATGTACTCACATAATCAAAAACGATGAAGATGAGTGCTTGCAGGCTTTCCACAGACACCGATCTGATCGCGTGGGTCTCAACAATGATCCGGGAGACGCTAGACTGCCGTTGGATTTGATCATTGTCCATGAAGAGGTCATTGGGGTCCATGTGTCGTAACGCCACTGCGAGCAGGGCATGCAGAACGAGTAACAAGCCATTGCTGCAGATGCCTTCGCTGACCTTATTTTGGAGTCTTTGCTTGTGCAGATACGGGATCCAGTGATGAAAAGATGTTGTGAAGAAGTCGACGACTCTCAAGAGCACAGCTTGAGGCGGCAAATGCTGAGCAAGGTCGACTTCCGCAGTGGCAAACAACCAGCGTTTAGCTTCTGGCTCATCGTGTTTGCGCTTCAATGGGTTTGTCGTTCTTCCGTTCCCGTGTGTGGAGGCATTGACAGGCGGCTGTTCGTGAGGAATAGCCGGTACGTCCTCATGAGTTTGACCTGTCGGGGCTGCGACTTCCTCAGTGGAACGTGATTCATTCTGAGGGGAGTCGCTATCGCCTCGCTGTTCTGGTTCGTCTTTGTACCGTGGTCGTAGATTCCCAGACTCATCCAGCAGAATCTGCTCCAGAAAAGCTACCAGTGTCAGACATGGCCCACAAGTTTGGAGGAGCACTGGCGCGTACCGACACGACGCGTTAAGGCCTCAACAGCCCCAGGTTTCAATCCCGGCTTCTGCTTTGGATTATACACGCATTTCGTTGCTACGTTCGAGTTTAGCATTACTCGACAAGGACTCTTCGACATGCGCTTACATAACCTCAGACAATGCGAGCAGACTGGTATCTCCTTTGAGCACCGCAACTTTCGCTTCTTGCACGACGCGCAGGCTGGCTGATCTTCGCCGACGACCGATGGGCCGTCTTCCTCGCCAGTGTGGCTTCCATTGCTCACGGAGAAATTGGTCCAGCCCGCCGACATCTGTACGACATCCTCAGTCGTTAGTAAGAAAAGGATTGTGGAGAGGATGGGCGCGGCGGGCGCCGGGTTAAATCAAGGAGCTCTTCACGCTCCGCCCGCTTGCGCTAGCTTCGTGTTCGGTTGATCAGCCCACCTGGAGAGCCGTCCGACCCCAGTTTTCAACCTCATTCAACCTGCGGAACAATTTTCGAGGTGCAGGACCGTTGGAGGTGGCGCGGATGCATTGCCAGGAAAGGCTGAGATTGATGGTGGCGCGGTGAGCTTTGCGTGCGCGCCGACGTGAACGCGCCAGGGACGCCGAAGCAGCCGGCCTGCACATGTCAGCCAGTCCAAACTATCGGCATCAAACACTGAAGGGACATCACTAGGGCTCTTCAGAATAGCTTCAACTCCGTAGCAAGATGCCACCTCTCGCAGGTTTCTCCAACAATGCTTTTCATACCCGGCAAGACTTCAGGATTGGTGCCATATCATTGCTTCGTGCCCTCAAGCCTCACCAGTCCACTGGTGGAGCACGCATAAGGCTACCTTTGGCGACTGGAACTCATTTTGACGATGTCGCTGCGCAGCTCGAGGGATTTGCCCGTGCGTTATGGGCTGTGGGAACTCTTCTGCATTCCAAAACTGTCACGCAAGATGAGCATGATGAGCTGATCCGCCCGTATATCGACGGACTGGCGAATGGCTCAGATCCAGGACACACTGAGTATTGGGGTCCTGTGGTACTCAGGGACCAGCGCATGGTGGAGATGGAGATCATCTCTTACGCATTACTAGCAGCACCGGATGACATGTTCCACTCACAGAGCTCTAAAGCGAAGCATAACATTACAGAGTGGCTGAAGACGATCAACGGCAAAGATGTCCCGATCACCAACTGGCTGTGGTTCCGCGTCATGACGAATCTTGCGCTGGTCAAAGTTTGCGGCGTTCCATATGAGGAGGTCGGCGATGCTATGAAAGAGGATCTGGATCAAATGGAACAGTTCTATCTCGGTCAAGGATGGGCTGCAGATGGCATGTGGAGTGACAAGGGCCGACAGGCAGATTACTACTCCGGGAGCTTTGCGATACAGTTTTCACAACTCATCTACGTCAAGATGGCGCAAGATCTTGATCCTGAGCGCTGTGCGAGGTTTCAAGGCCGTGCCAAGGTGTTTGCTTCGTCTTTCTGGCGGTATTTTGATTCAAATGGTGAGTCTCTTTAAGGAACAGACTCACTTCTGGCTCACATATTACAGGCGCTGCAATTCCATTCGGTCGAAGCCTGACTTACAGATTCGCATTTGCTGGCTTTTGGTCAGCTGCAGCCTTTGCAGAAGTTGATCTACCCTCGCCCCTGAATGACTGGGGAGTAGTCAAAGGTCTACTCCTCCGTCACTTCCGGTGGTGGAGCAATAAGCACGACATATTCAATGTTGACGGATGTTTGAACGTTGGCTTCGCATACCAGAATTTTTACATGTGCGAAGACTACAATTCTCCACAATCAGTCTACTGGGCTTTGAAGTCCTTCCTGGCGCTAGGTCTATCGGACAGTCATCCGTTCTGGACGGCAGAGGAGAAGCCTTTACCTAGCGACAATGCCTTGACCGTCTCTGTGGACCCACCAATGCACATAGTATGCAACACTGGGAACCATCACTACCTCCTGTCGTCCGGTCAGTTCTGTCCTTGGCCTCTTAAAGCTACAGAAGCCAAGTACGGCAAATTTGCCTACTCCTCACACTTCGGTTTCAGCGTGCCTACCGGACCCCTGATCCAGCAAATGGCGCCAGACAGCACCATAGCACTCAGTAAAGACGGAGGCGACACCTGGCGTGTGCCATGGAAAGTGAAGACCAACGAACAGCGCGTTGAAGCGTCGCTGGAGAGAGGCGATGAGATTCTAGAAACGATACTAACTTCCCAAAGTCTCTGGAGACCCTGGAGAGACGCCGATGTTGATGTCAGAACGGTCTTGATTGCTCCTTGCTCCCGGTGGCCAGACTGGCATGTGCGCTTCACCAGCATCGGGAACCTGGGTGCGGCTCCTGTTGTTCTGAATAACACCCAGGGAGCCTTTGCCATCCAAGGCCGAGGGTCTACGAGAGGCGAAGTCCTCCCGGCTTTTGCAGATAACGTCATCACCAAAGCCAACACTGGTTTGTCATTTGCGGAAGGCACTCTAGAGTCACAACATGGGGCGTTGGTCTGTTCGGATGCTGGAGCAAGCGGCATCAGATCAATTACTCTGCGAAATGCAGCAGGGAATCAACACTTGCCCAGTGACATCACTTCCACTGGGCAAGTGCTAAAGCCAGATGCAAACACCAACCTCATGTGGCAAAGGACCCTGATCCCGACCATCACATCCGAGACTCGGACGATCAAGCAGGGAGATGCTGTGTACTTCATATCTGCTGTGTTTGTGGCGGCTAGGTCTTCGGATAAGATCGAACAGTACGAGTCACTCGATTTACAGAAGCTGTGGGATGATGTGCCGGTCATTCGAGTCGGCGACCTGGTTAGTAAGGCTTCAGGGAAGGATCAGGCGTACATAGATGTTCGAGTGTTGCCGCCGCTGACCTAAAGAGCCTGTACATCAAATACACTTCATATCACGAAACTTCAGTACCGGGTTGTGAAGAACCATAATCCCTGTTTCCTGGACCACTTTGACCACGAGCTGAACGACCCATATGCGCTACCTGATGGCCTTTCCCCTCCAGGTCATCTTGGTTAATGCACAATGCATCAATCCAAAGCGCTTGGTGAACATCGTTACGCAAGTAGGACAAGGCTTCGTAATGTGTATTCATGTAGTCTTTACACTCAATGGTTTGATCCCACAGCGGTGTCTCAATATTCCCAGGCAGGAGCGTAGGCAGTCGAATAAACTTCCGGTGCTGCAGAAGTGTGTGGCGATATTGCTCTTCGTCTAGTTTTGCGAGACCCATGGTACCTGTGGTACTGTTCTCGCTCGAGTATGTTGTGTTCATTGTTTGTAGTGCATATTTCGCGTTATGAGCAGTCGATCGATATAAGCGTTCTTAACGTCCGTCCCTACGTGACGGGACGCACGGTGTAATGGACAGGTTCGCACTCCGGACCTTCGCCATCTCATATTCGCACGTATACAGACTTGGCATTGACATGCAATGTTCTTCGGCCATCTCTCCACCAGTCTATCAGCCTCCGGCGACGATTGCTGCCATGCTGACCTTGCTGTCGATCGTTTCGTTCACACCGTCAATTGATCCTTCGTCAACACTCCCCCTGTCCATTCGCGACCTGTGGAATTTCCGTGAAGACCGGAGGGTCTGATAAAAAACGAAGTTAAAGAGGACTGTGTCCCAGGACTCTGGAAGCTCTTTTGACTAAAGAATTGTGCAGTCCGGCAGTTTCGCCGGTCGGGAGCAAAGATCGCAAGTCACGGCCCAGCGTATCGGGACTGACTAATGCGCTTGGCGTGCTTGATCTTGTTGTATGCTTATGTAACGAACCTGACGCTGTACCCACAGCAGACTGACTGCTGAGAACAGCTGTGGCGCAGACGGGCGGTTTTCTGGAATCGTCTCCGAAAGATGGCTGAGCCGCGCTGCCTGGAGACGCCTCCACGCGCTCTTCGCTGTTTTCAGTCGGCCACTCCACAACTGTGGCAGACAAGGTCAGTCGAGTGTGTAGATGCTGGATGATGAAAAGTGCATCGCAATGGGGGCGTGGCATCGCGAAAGCGTGACTTCTTGAGCATGAGCACAATCAGCCGCGTCCGCCCCTGCCATAAACCCGTTCGAACATCATCACCGAACCAAGAACACGGCGTAGAGCACCAGCTACAGCCTGCAACCCCTAGACCGCTGTTTCACCGTGTATCTACCTGGGGCTTTACAGCCATTCGTTCTCTTCTCCATGCGCTCGTCCTAGATTGCACGCGAGAGCCAGCTGCCGCACTCTCGTCCTACTAGGCTGCCGCGTCGAGCCTCTAGCATCCCGCTGCATGCGCCTATCACACATTCACACGAATCGATGCGTCTTTTGAACTACGACGAACATGGCGAGCTCGGTATCATCAACTTCGATGATTCCGCAATACCACCTTATGCGATACTCTCACACACATGGGGAGCAGATGCGGATGAGGTGACTCTCGCAGACCTTGTGTCAGGCGATGGCAAGGCCAAGCGTGGCTACGAGAAGATCCGCTTCTGCGGACAACAAGCACAGCAACATGGCCTGCAATACTTCTGGATCGACACATGCTGCATCGATAAGACGGACAAGGCTGAGCTCTCCCACGCTATCCGATCCATGTTCCGTTGGTACCAGAACGCGACAAGATGCTATGTGTATCTGTCCGACGTATCGACAAGGAAGATGAAAGTTAGCACTATGCTTACCGGGTTCACTTGGGAGCCTGCTTTCAGGGCAAGTCGATGGTTCACGCGCGGCTGGACGCTTCAAGAGCTTCTAGCCCCAAGCACAGTTGAGTTCTTCTCTCAAGAGTGGGAGGGGCTTGGTGATAAGACGTCGCTCAAGTCATTAATTCACAAGATCACAGGGATCTCACACGAAGGGCTCGACGGAGCCCCTCTTTCCCAGTTCAGCGTCAACGAACGGTTGCGGTGGAAAGAAGGCCGGATGACTAAATACGAAGAAGATGGAGCGTACTCGCTGCTAGGCATTTTCAACGTCGAGCTAGCGCCGGTGTATGGCGAAGGTGCAGCTGGCGCCTTCAGACGCCTCATGGACGAGATCCACAAGCTAGAGAGATGCGTCCAGGATCTACGCAGCACAGATCCGCATGACGACAAGAAGCGCATCGAGGAGACCAAAGGCGGATTGCTATCTGATTCCTATTGCTGGGTTCTCGACAACACCGCTTTCCAGCTGTGGCAGCGGGACCAGCACAGCCGACTGCTGTGGATCAAAGGCGACGCTGGCAAGGGAAAGACGATGCTGCTCTGCGGCATTATCAACGAACTCAAGAAATCAACGAACGACCTCTCATTCTTCTTCTGCCAAGGTACCGACTCTCGCATTAACAGCGCTACTGCTGTGTTGCGCGGCTTGATGTACTTGCTCGTCAGGCAGCAACCGTGGCTGACATCACACCTGCGGAAGAGATACGATCATGTGGGTGGCTCTCTCTTCCAAGACGCCAATGCCTGGGTAGCCTTGTCTGAAGTCTTTACAAGCATGGTGCAGGATAAGGGCTTGAAGACAAGCTGTCTAGTTGTTGATGCTCTTGATGAATGCGTAGTGGACCTGCCTAAACTCCTAGACCTGATCGTCCGTACCACGGCGTCGTCAACTCGTGTAAAGTGGCTTGTGTCGAGTCGAAACGAGGATCACATCGAGCATAAGCTCAAGTCGATCAGCGACGAAGCACAGTTGAGCCTAGAGCTGAAGCAGAACGCGGAGCAGGTAGCTCGAGCTGTGGATGCATATATCGACCATAGGCTGGCTTGCCTCGAGTCGCTCAGAGAGAATGATCTGCGAGAGCAGTTGCGAAATGAGCTACGCCGCAAGGCGAACGGTACCTTCCTTTGGGTTGCTCTGGTGATGCAAGAGCTTGAAAAGCCGGAAAGCTGGGACCTTTTAGCGATAGTAGAAGAAGCCCCAGCAGGCTTACACCAACTGTACGATCGCATGATGGACCAGATCCAGCGGTTGTCGACGAGGAATGCGGATATCTGTCGGTCTCTACTCTGCACTGCAGCGATCGCGTACCGTCCGCTCTACCTTGCTGAGATGGGCAGCTTGCGCGGATTGTCAGGTCGAGCTACAGTGCTGCCGGAGACTGTGAGAAAGATTGTAGCCATGTGTGGGTCGTTCCTCACAATTCGTGACGAGCAAGTCTACCTTGTTCACCAGTCAGCCAAGGACTATCTAAGCAACAAGATGCGAGCTGCAGCCCTTCCATCTCAAAGTGAGATGCACTATGACCTGTTCAATCAGTCGCTCGAGCTCATGTTTCGCACGCTAAAACGCGATATGTACAATCTGGTTGAGATAGGCATCTCAATCGAGGAGGCTGAAGTACCCGATTCTGATACGCTAGCGACTACGCGCTACTCGTGCGTCTACTGGGTCGACCATCTGTGCGACTCAAAGCCTAAGTCTTGGGCAGACAGTGTTGGTGACCGGAAAGTCATAGATGCCGTCGATGAGTTTATAAGGAAGAAGTATCTCTACTGGCTAGAAGGGCTCAGTCTGTGCAGAAGCATGGGAAAGGGGGTGGTTTCAATGGCGAAACTATGCTCTCTGGTCAAGGTATGGCATGTACAGATATGTTGTCTGTGTTGTGTACTTCAAGTAGATGCTGACACAAGAAGGAGACTCGGGATGCAGACGAGCTGACTAACCTCGTCCAAGACGCGTACCGATTCATCATGTACCACAAAGCAGCAGTCGAGAGCTATCCTCTGCAAGCATATGCATCTGCGCTGTTGTTCAGTCCAACAGGGAGCTCAATCAGAGGATTGTTCCGGCACGAAGAGCCGAAGGGAATTATCATCAAGCCAGCGATGAGCAGCGGCTGGAGTGCGTGCCTGCAAACGCTCGAGGGCCATAGCCAGCGTGTCACCTTTGTAGCCTTCTCGCATGACTCAACCAAGCTGGCGTCGGCGTCGTGGGACAACACCGTCAAGCTGTGGGAT